TGCCATAATTACCAAATTGCCGTCGCCCTTGCTAAGGTTTCAAAACCTTAGTGCTTTAAAAAACTTTTACTCGATTAGCCAGAACCTCCAGATCTACCGGATTAGCCAGAACTACCAGATCAGCAAGATAAACCAGAACTACCATATCAGGCAAAACTACCAGACTACCTAGAACTACCGGATGAGCCAGAACTGCCAGATCAGCCAAATCGTCCAAAACCAAGCGCAATCCACGCAGTATGTGTGTCACCCGACCGCCTCCAATCCTTTCTAACTGGCCAGAACCGCCTGTAAAGCTTTTAAGCGTTCACAGCTTTTCAAACCTATTGCTACAAGACCATGGTCTGCACTAAGCTTTCCAAACCTTTATACAGTAGAAAACTTTTACGTATTCAGCCGAATTCACCTGCTGACACAGAAATACTAGATTAGTCAGAACAACCAGATCATCCAGAACGACCAGATCATCAACACTATCAGTTTCGCTTAACTGACTAAGCTTTGGAAACGGTTTAATTCTTGGGAAAGGTGCGTTTGCGGGTTGCCGCAGATTTAGATTCTGCCCCGAAAGGTGGGTGTGCAGGATCAACTGGTTTAGTCTTTGTATCCGACAGGTGCATGTGCCGGATCAAACCTTTTACGCTTTGCAACTGACAGGTGCGTGTTCGGGATCCATACTTTTCGGCTGAGTAACTGGAAGGTGCGTTTGCCGGATGAAACCATTTGGGCTTTGTAACTGAAAAGCGGTTGTGCGGGACACATACTTTTAGGCTATGTAACCGAAGGCGCGTGTACCGGATGAAGCTTTTTAGACTTTAAAATTAGAAGGTTCATGTGCGGGATGAAACCTTTAGGATTTGTATCTGAAAGGTGCGTGTGCGGCATCCATAGTTCCAGGCTGTGAAACTGTAAGGTGCGTGTGCCGAATGAAACCTTTTAGGCTTTGTAACTGAAAGGTGTGTGCGCCGGGTGTACCTTTTAGGCTTAGTAACTGAAAGGTGCGTGTGCCGGATGAAGCCTTTCAGGCTTTGTGACTGAAAGGTGAGGCTTTGTAACTGAAAGGTGCGTGTGCCAAATGAAACCTTTTCGGCTTTGTAACTGATAGAAGGGTGCAAATCATACCTTTAGGCTGTGTAACTGAAAGGCGCGTGTGCCGGATGAAACCTTTAAGGCTTTGTTGCTAAAAGGTGCGTGTGCGAGATCCATACTTTTAGGCTGTATAACTGAAAGTTGCGTGTGCCAGATGAAACCTTTTCGGCTTTGTAACTGATAGGTGGGTGTGATTCATACTTTTAGGCTGTGTAACTGAAAGGTGCGTGTGCGAGATCCAGACTTTTAGTATGTATAACTGAAAGTTGCGTGTGCCAGATGAAACCTTTTCAGCTTTGTAGCTGAAAGGTGGGTGTGGGATCCACAAGTTCAGGCTGTGAATCTGAAAGGCGCGTGCGCCGGAAGAAACCTTTTAGGCTTTGTATCTGAAAGGTGCGTGTGATTCATATTTTAAGGCTTTGTAACTGGAAGGTGCATGTGCCAGATGTTACCATTTAGGGTTTTGCAACCGAAATGTGCGTTTGCGGAATCCACCTTTTCAATCTTCCGCAGCTGAAGCCTTTCTGTGTAAACCTGGCCCCGGCGAAAACCCCTTCGATTTCACTGAAATATGGAAACCTGTTTACTTGGAATTGTTGGCTGACCGGAACAGCCTTTGCACTGCAGCGCGGCGCGTAAGCGCCGCGCGCTGTGCTTGTATATATTAAAGCAGAACCGTGATTCCGGAACGCTCCTGCCTCCAAAACCTTCTGATTGGCCAGAAGAAACCTTACGTTTCTGATTGGGCGGAACCCGTCTAGCTACTTTTAAGCTTTTACAGCCCCTTAAACCTGTGCTGTTACGCCCTTATTTTTACTACGCTTCCGAAATTTAGTGCTTTTACCTGTCAAACCTTCGTCTGATAAACTGAATCTCACATTTAGCTTTATTCCTTACTAAACCTCAAGACCTTAGAGCTTTAATAAACCTGATAACTTTAATTACCTTAATAAACTTTGGGGCACCCACCCTTTAAGCCTTTGGTCACCGAAGGGCACGCGTGCGTTACCCGCCCTTTTAAGGCTTTGGTCACCAAAGGCCACGTGTGCGGTACCTGCTTTATTCAGCCTTTGGTAACCAAAGGCTTTTTAAGCCTTTGGACACCGAAGGCCACGCGTGCGACACCCGCCTTTTTAAGTCTTTGGTCACTGAAGGCCACGCGTGCGGAACCCGCCCATTTATGCCTTTGATCACCGAAGGGCACGCGTGCACGAGCCTTTGATCACCGAAGGATCACAAGTGCAGGTACCTGCCTTTGAGCCTTTGGTCACCGAAGGCCACGCGTGCGGTACCCGCCTTTTTGAGCCTTTGGTCACCGAAGGCCACGCGTGCGGTACCCGCCTTTTTGAGCCTTTGGTCACCGAAGGCCACACGTGCGGTACCCGCCTTTTTGAGCCTTTGTTCACCGAAGGCCACGCGTGCGGTACCCGCCTTTTTGAGCCCTTGGTCACTGAAGGCCACGCGTGCGGTACCCGCATTTTTAAGCCTTTGATCACCGAAGGCCACGCGCGCGGTACTCGCTCTTTTAAACCTTTGGTAACCGAAGGTTACGCAATATTTGTCCACGCTTTTAAGCGTTTTGTAACAGAAGAATTTCGGTTTAACATGTTTCTAGATACATTAACTGTATTTCCTTTTCAACAAGACTTATTTAACATATAAAACCGTTTCACTTCGATTCGTTTATCAAAAAGAGCCCAGCCTACAAGAACCGCCTTTGCACTGCAGCGCGGCGCGTAAGCGCCGCGCGCTGTGCTTGTCCTATATATTAAAGCAGAACCGTTATTCCGGAACGCTCCTGCCTCCAAAACGTTCTGATTGGCCAGAACCAGCCTAACCTTTCTAATTGGCCAGAACCCGCCTAGCGGGTTTTAAGCTTTTGCAGCCCCTTAAACCTGTGCTTTTGCGCGTTTGTCTTTACCAAGTTTCCGAAACTTAGTATCTTCACCTGTGAAAACCTTCGCCTCATAAACCGGATTCCAGCTTCAGCATTGCTCCTTACTAAGCTTCCAAACATTAGTTCTTTAAGAAACCTGATAACTTTAATTTACTTACCGGTAGCGTCTTTTAAGCATTTAATTACCTTGCGGTACCTGCCCTTTTAAGCCTTTGGTCACCGAAAGCCAGGCGTGTGGTACCCGCCTTTTTGAGGCCTTTGATCACCGAAGGCCACGCGCGAGGTACCCGTTTTTTTTAGCCTTTTGGCCACGAAAGGCTAAGCGTGTGGTACCCGCCTTTTTTAGCTTTTGGTCACCGAAAGCCAGGCGTGTGGTACCCGCCTTTTTGAGGCCTTTGATCACCGAAGGCCACGCGCGAGGTAAGTTTTTTAGCCTTTATTACGAAAGGCTACGCGTGTGGTACCCGCCTTTTAGTCGAAACCAGGCGTGTGGTGCCTTTTTGAGGCCTTTGATCACCGAAGGCCACGCGCGAGGTACCCTTTTTTTTAGCCTTTTGGCCACGAAAGGCTACGCGTGTGGTACCCGCCTTTTTTCGAGCCTTTGATCACCGAAGGCCACGCGCGTGGTACCCGCCTTTTTGAGCCTTTGGTCAACGAAGGCCACGCGCGTGGTACCCGCCTTTTTGAGCGTTTGGTCACCGAAGGCCACGCGTGTGGTACGTTGGCCACCGAAGGCCTTTTAAGCCTTTGGTCACCGACGGTTTTCTAAGCCTTTGCCCACTAAAGGCCTGTTAGGCTTTTGGTCACCGAAGGCCTTTTAAGCCTTTGGTCACTGAAGGCCTTTTAAGCCTTTGGTCACTGATGGCCTTTAGACCCACACTTTCAAGCCGTTTGTAACCGTGGGCCGCCTCAGCGCGGCGCGTAAGCGCCGCGTGTCCTGCTTGTACATATTATTAAGCGCTTCATGGAGGAACGCGACCGCCTCCAAATCGCTCTCATTGGTCAAAACCAAAATACTTACTAAACGAAGTGAACCTACTGAACAAACTCACAAACTATAGTAAACCTGCTGAACACACTTACTAACAAAATGAACCAGCTGAACCCAACCAAAACCTTAGTGAATCAATTGAACCCGACCGGAAAGTTAGTGAATCCACTGAACCAAACTAAAACCTTTCTAAACTAGCCGAACCCAACGGTGAACCGAATGAACCCGATCAAAACCTCACTCGACTGAACCCACTGAAAAAGTTACTGAACCAACTGAACCCAACCTAATTCTTACTGAATCGACTGAACCCAACCGAAAAGTTAGGGAACCGACTGAACCCAACCAAAACCTTATTAAACCAAATGAACCTAACCAAAACTTTGGTGAACCGACTGAACCCAACCAAATTTTTAGTGAACCAGTTGAACCCATTTTAATCCTTGATGAATCGACAAAATTCAACTGAACCCAACCAAAACTTTAGTGAACCCGCTGAACCCAAAACATATTGAACGAAATGAATCTAACCTAATCGTTATTGTACCAACTCAACTCAATCGAAACATCAGCGAACCGACTGACCCAACCAAAACCAAGTGAATCTACTGAACAACCTTATTAAACCAACTGAATCAGCTAGACGCACTTATTAAACGAAGAACCTAATGAACCAATTTAATGCGTAAGTAACCGCAAGAGAGTAAGCGCACAATGTAACCGCAAAAAAGTTAGCGGCGTAACGTAACCACAAGAAGGTGAACGGCGTAACGAAACCACAAGAGAGTAAGCGCGCAATGTAACTGCAAGAAACTAAGCGACGTAACGTAACCACGAAAGAGTAAAGCATAGTTTATACTCCGTCGGGAGACGGCTCCCGATCCAGATAAATCTGAAACCGATACAGAGACTCGCCAACGCAGTTGGCGGCAGCCAGCGACGTATGGCAGATTCAGAAATTGAAACAGACTGCCTGAAGTGCAAACTGCCAAAGCAGTATAAACACATATGCCAGTACGCGCACATTTCTCAAAAAATTATTGCGATTAAAAATGAATTGCTAGCAATTCACGTTTTGAAAAACTATATTGCGCTGTGCTTTGTTAGTTTGTGTTTATTGTTCGATAGAAAGTGTTAGTTTGTTTGCTTTGTTAGTCTGTGTTAGCAACTGTGTTACCACAAAACCTGAATTGATTTTAAAACTATGCGCCTTCTACTGATCATTTCGTTTTGTAACATCACTTCAAACATGCGCTAAACCGAAACGAAGTTCGCTTTGCTTCTGCACCTGGTTCGCGTGCGTCACAGTCTTCTTCGTACTTCTCGTCTGCGCCAAAAAATTCATTGCTAATTGCGAGCAAAAGAATCCGTCAGCGTCGCTGGTATGTCCGTGAACATAATCGTGATCGCGATCGATGGGGTGAATTTTCAAATATTGTGAAAACGGATGCGCGAATTGAACGAGGAGCTGCATTTTCAGTATTTTCGGATGTCCAAGGAAACCTTTGACGAAATTCTTGCACTGATTAGTCCAATCATCAGCCACGCTAACACTCATGAGCATCTGGTATCTCCCATGGAGCGACTTGCCGTAACTTTAAGGTTAGTAAAATAAAAGAAAAGTTGTGTACTATTCTAGCAGTTAACTGGTGTAAAATTCCAAACTATATATTCAAATAAATTCGTTTTAAATTTACTTGCACTTGTTACCTTAATTTGCTTTGATTTTTAAACTAATACCGTCGCCTTTTCTGCTCATTATAGCTGTTAAAATATGTGTTTACAGAATCTTGGCTTCGGGCATGAGTCAAATTGCAGCGGCCCATAGTTTCTGTCTTGGTCGAGCCACGGTAAATCGCATTTACCGCGAAACAACAAAGGCAATTTGGGATGTTATGGGGCCTATTTACGTCAGTCCACCGAGCGAATTACGCTGGAAATCTAATGCGGAAAGGTTCAACCCGTCTTGGCAATTTCCAAACTGCATTGGTGCGGCCGACGAAAAGCACGTGGTTATCAAGGTAAAGGAGCGGTGATTGTTAAAAAGTAGAAAGTTTTGAAAATTAAATTATTATCTGCTTTCTATCTGCTTATTGCTCCCAGTATAATTTTGCTGAATTGTTGTATTGCAGAAACCAAAGAATGGCGGTAGTTAGTATATCAACTACAAAGGGACACATTCAATCTTTCTTATGGCTGTAGCGGGTCCCAATTATAAATTTTCGTACGTGGATATAGGCGGCTATGGTCGGCAGAGTGATGGTGGAACATGGAGCAAGTGCGCTTTGGGAAAAGCGGTGGAAGAGACGCTAATAATGCCCAAGCCCGAGCGACCATTATTATGCGAGCACCTGTTGCCGCAGGTATTTGTCGCAGACGCTGTGTTCCCGATATCGGTCCACCTGATGCGTCCATACCCCGATCGAAATCTATCCAGAGCCGCACGAATTTTTAATTATAGACTATCCCGGGCGCGGCGCGTCGTAGAAAACGCGTTTGGCATTCTCGCTTCGAGATGGCGTATTTTCCAAAGGCCAATGGATTTCCAGCCAGCACAAGTCGTTCTAACCGTCAAGGCATGCGTAGTGTTACATAATTTTCTACTTCGCAAAAATCTCGCGAACAGTAAGTCGGCTTATGTAATGCCTACCCTTATTGATAGAGAAAACGAAGACGGTCCTGGAATAATCGAAGGGGAATGGCGGCGAATAACTGCGAACGATACCGGGTTGTGCAAAATGGGAAAAAGCAGAGGCACCGCCGAAGCTATGCTTATTAGAGACAGGTTTCGTGACTATTTTAACTCCACAGGCAGCGTTTCCTGGCAGGAAGCTCGCACATTTGGTGTTCTTCAGGAGCAAGAAAATTTCTCTTCCGACGATAGCAGTTTGTAGTTAAATGCATACGCGTACTAGGAATTCCGTACTTTATTTTTGTGACAATAACAAATTGTAATACGGCATATTCCGGTTTAGATTGTATAGTAATAATACCGACAATAAGCGCAATGGCGGAGAACAGACAAGTAAAAAGAATTCACACAACAACGAACAATTTCATCAGTCTGTCGTATCCGCTTGTACAAATGCCTTATTTTACTAAAAGGATATGCAACATAATGTAAATTTACAAAGTCGCATTAAAAGTTATCGCGATTGAGTTCCGTTCCAATACAATTTCTTTCTGTATCTTAAGATTCTTGTGCCCACCGTTCCTCAAAATACTCGCTCTCTGTAAATTGCATGTGCAGGTGTTCAATAAAAGCAACTAACAGGAATATGTTACGTACACAAGTTTTGTACAAAAATCACTCCACACGACTTAACAAATACTTTTTCCTGTGCGTTCAGTACTGCTTTCGTTGTTGAGTAGCTCTTTCGCAATAACATTCTGAATGCCTTTTTTGATGCGCTCCTTCTGCTCGGCAGTAGTAGAATTCAGAGTACTCAAGACGAAGTCACCTGTCAGAAATCGAATAAAGTAAAACCTGCCTTTACATATTATCTTCGGTGGTGGTAAAAAACTTAACTGATGCCCTTGTGGGCATTCAGAAAATTAGTTGCACCGACCTCGGTTCAACCGTAGACCTATGTAGTTATTGCACGAGATTATATTGTAGTTAACAACTAGAGTAGTTTGCAATATAACCACATAATACGTACAAAACAGTTCCTCCGTAGTAGAAATCTTTTTTCCTTGCGTGCTTTGTTCTCCGAAGAAACTTTTCAGGACATTCGACGTTTCGGCCGCTAGTTCGTCGTCTCTGCGCTGCGATTCGCTGAGCTGTTTGATGAGCTGATCGTAACCTTCGCGCTTTCTCTTTTTCCTAGGAGTACAATTATCTGAAATGAAAATCATTTTTATTTAACAACCCTCATGAATTAACAGCCATCATGAATTATTTGCATTGGAAACTTCAATGTATTTTACTATATATTTCTATCACTTTTAACATAAAATATTTGCCATAATTTTAATAAGCACAGTATTTCACTAGCATGTCTTCCTTTTTTAAAACAATACTTAGTGCTGCTAAGGTTAAATAAAATTTTCATCGAAAGCGTCCGAACAAATGTGTGGCAAGTGATTCGCGAGAGACAAACGAAAAACGACTACTTTTATGTTCAAAAACGCGGTAGAAAAATACAATAAAATTACATTCTCCGATCAACTGAGCGATGGCATTCCATACGTCCACCTTGCTCTTTGTATCAATGTACTCTTTCAACTTTGTATCCCAGAGCGATCGATTCACTTTGACAAAAGCAAGAAGGTTTTCCGATTCGGCATCAGTGAATTTGTTCAATACGGCGCCTTTGGAGTTTGGCTGCGCAGACACTCGAGGCATTTTGTACTCGTACTAATAAAAACGACTAATAAAAAAAAACGCACGCTGCGCCAAACTACAAAATTCTGATATCGTGGAGAAAAGCCAAATCCACACAACAGAATAAACAGAAAAATGTTTTTTTTTAAATCCAGAGATCAGAAATAACGTTTTTACAAGAAAAATGCGGTGTAGAACCACGCGCACTCAAAATTATTTGAAGTGCAACAAAAAGAATTCAGCGCGGGCTCCAGTACACAATAAAAATTGAACACGTTCATTTCATCATTATTGATGTCAGTTTCAAACCGGAGCAAGTGCAGTCGCCCTCGGTTGCAGACAGGCTGATGGTTGTTTATAGTACAACCGAAGCTGGGAAGGAACGGGAGCTCGAAAGTATAAACAACCTTCAGCTAACTGGTGCCAGTTAGCAAACTGGAACCGCTCCAGATGGAGTATACCTCATGCTTAAGCGGCGCAATGTAACTACAAGAGAGTAAACGGCCTGACGTAACCACAAGAAAGTGAGCGGCGTAACGTAACCACAAGAGAGCCAGCGGTGCAACGTAACCACAAAAGAGCAAGCGGCGCAACATAACCGCAAGACAGAGAACGGCAAAACGTAACCACAAGAAAGTCAACGGCCTAACGTAACCACAAGACAGAACGGCAAACGTAACCGCAAAAAAGTGAGCGGAGTAACGAAACACAAGAGGGTGAACGGCTTAACGTAACAACGAAAGAGTAAGCGGCGCAATGTAACCAAAAGAGAGTGAACGGTCTGACGTAACTCCAAGAGAATAAGCGGTGTAACGTAACCAAAAGAAAGTGAGCGGCGCAACGTAACAACAAGAAAATGCTTGCTTCATTTAATAATCATTTAAAAACAAAAATACAAAGTGAAACGTTTTGTCTGCGTTTTTTTCGCCGGTCGCGGACACTTGTGGTCACTTTATGCCACGTGTGCGCAAAATCTTCATGGAAAATTAGTTGTTTTCCGTTCACAGAGAGCTAAGGGAAAAACTGCATCAGCGGATTTAACAGGACTTGAGTCCAAAAGTCACCAATAATTTCCTACCAAAAGTGTGCCAATGTCGGTGGCTCACCCTCTGTACCCGAATCGGGAAGGAAAACACTTTTTTTTGCTGTGGTTGCTGTTTAATTTTTTTGTATATAATAATACAGTAGTTGTATATTAGCTTTCGTTTAATAGAAAATTATATTATTCGTCCCCGTTTTCTAGTATTTATACTATTATTAATTCACATTCTTTGTATATACGCAAAATGATCAGACACACAAAAGTCCGATACAGTATGTACTGGAAGAGCGAAACGGACGATATTACGGCAGCTAGTCCCGATACGTATCTACGATACCCTTTTTGCACGATTCGCTCGTCATAATAGTACTGTTTAGTATAGTATCCAATTTCAGATCTATATACATTCGCATACGACATGTACATGTCCCATTTAATTTACAAGCGTACTGAAGTTTACGGAACATAAAAAAAAATACTTTGCACCAAAAGAGAATACTCTGCTTATGATCCAGATCATTAATGCAGTCGTAATGATCTGAATAAGTGAAGAATATAAATTATTGTTCCGTACTAACGTCTAAGCACAAAATAACACAATTGTTACTGTGTGCGCGTACTTATTTTATTCTGTTGTACGAGGTATGTAATGTTTATACGGAGACTGTATACTCGTATCGATCTCATCATCCGCTGACCAGGGACAGAAGTGAAGCTTGTAAACGGTCACGGGAGTATTCCATTGTGAATAATTTAATAAATGTTTTCGAATATTTACTTTCTAACTTATAATTCCAAAATTTTTTCCAGACTGGTGGCGGGGTCGAGAGAAGCCTGATCCGGAAAACAAAAAATGTTGAACATTTACCTTGATTATGGTATGCCACAAAATAGCGGCTGAAGATCAACCTTTGCTGAATGAAGTTTGAAAAAGCACTTCGAATACTGGAATTATATAAACAGATGCCTGCAACTGACGATGATTCTTTTAAAATCCAGATCTTTGATGAAGCTGGTATGGACAGAATCGTGGAGAATCAACGACTGTTGACTGGTTACTTGGAGCATCTGCTCAGTGCTGCTTTTAACGTTTGGGAGAATCGCAACGGTTCACCTCCCCTGCTAACGATTTCCACCCCAGCTGATCCGAAGGAGCGCGGCTCCTAGTCATCTTTGACATTTCGGACACCGGTCAGAAAAATTAACCATGAGCTGGAGCGGCGTGGGGTTAGAAGAATAGCATCCCGTCTGCTGCGAACCTGGTTGAGCGTCATCTCCTCTGCTGCGAAACCTAATTATTAATAATAACTAATATTAATCTTATCAGTACACACACCTGTCACGCTATAACTCACAGTGGGAAACAACCGGTCAGTTAAGAGAGAGAGCGCACATATTCACACTCGCCGGCTATTCATGCACCGCTACGATATAATCGCTACGGCTATTTTCACTATGCATTACGTGTGCGTGTGTGTGTACTGTATGTGATATCATAATAACTGCGGTCAGTGCAGGTCAGTTAAGAGAGAGAGAGAGCGCATATATTCACACTCAGCCGTACATACTTAATTGGTACGGCTATTAACTTGATGACTTCACCTAACGGTCGGTGGTGTAAGGGAACAGAGAGCGCCGCGCACATACACACAGTGACGAGTTAATTAGTACAGCCTTGTATGCGACAAGTGAGGACATTACAAACTGATGACCACTGGTCATTTCAACGTCTACGGTGCGATAATTATTTAATTACATATGTAAAGGCAGAAATCCATGCTAACGGTTAGGAATAATGGCAAAACACAAGCGCGCTATCATTTAAGCGCCCTGTCTTGTTAGCAGCGTGTTGATGTCATCGACTCTAATTACTACGGCCTTGTGCGTGTAATATGTGTACTATGTGTCGCAAACTCAAACAAATTCATCACACCCGCAAATAATTTTATTACTTTGTAGCAGCAGCAAACAAATTCATCTTAACTGTATCAAAAACATCACAAATAAAATGCTAAAGCTATAAAAAAACGTCGTACTTATTCAGTATCAAAAAACAGCAAAACCAAATGCTAAAGCTATAAAAAACGTCGTACTTATTCAGTAACAACAACAACAACAACATAAATGCTAAAGCTATTTATAACAAGCGTTCCCTTTCTCCAAGATCGTCATCAATTGACATGACTCCCCGGCCCCAATCGCTGGCGAGAATTTTGGACAGCAGCCGATGCAACGAATCTTTTGGCACAGCCACCGAATTATCTTCTTGTGCAATCAGGTATTCGTTTTCGTTCCTCCAGATCATTGTTCCTTCGCACAGGATATCATCCTGATAGTCTAGCTTTTCTTCCTCCGTTAGTTTGAGGATAAGCTCGATCAGTTCCATCTCGCGCAGTGTAACGCCAGTCCGCCGACTTTCCGCTAAGCCAAAACTGTCCGCTAAGACATTGTTGCCGAACACCACTTCCGGTTTCTCATATAACTAGAATATGGTCAATTCACCGTTGCGGTAGCCGATAACCGGCTCGTTTCCGGGGTAGTCAACGTACTTTAGCAAAGATAAACACGTACCAGTAATAAATATTGCATGAGATGGGCTGGGATCAAACTTTTTAACGTCATCGCTCTGGCATACACGGTGGGGCGGCTGCCATGGTGGCAAGTACGTATTTTTGTCTGTTTCTCATCAGAATTGTTTCTAGTATTAGATCCGTGTTAATATTCAGTATGGCCTGTTAAAATATAAGGAGAAATGACTTGGGGATAGCTTTTGCAGGGGCCAAATAACCCTGGGAGGTTCGCAAAGCAGTGTTTTTGGCATGCTATAGTGATCACGTTGACGACCGTTGCGCAGACCGTTCTCAGGCCATGCAACTATAGTAGGTTCCTGAAACTAACAAAACCACAAAAATAGCAGAAAAACCCGTACAAATAACACATGAAGAAAAGAACAATAACGAAAGAATTCTTACAATCGTCTTTTTTGCAAAATAAAAGCACTGACCCATTTGTTGCCCTAGCAACAACAACACTAAACAATTTTTGAACTGTTCAAAATTTTGGATTATCAATTTGCCATTTGATCTTAAAGCGCTTGGTCAAAGCATTGACGTCCTCAGTTTTGAGTATTACAGTGTGGAGGGTGATTTCCTCGTTCTCTAAATCACTATTACGTAAGCTGCGCATGTTGCAGTCCCGCGCACAATGCTGCAGATTAAAATGTTTAAATTAGCCCATTAGTAGACCGTTTAAACATGTGAACAAAAAAGATTTTTTTAAAATTATTCCAGTGTTATCTTTAGCCTAAATTTTACTAAGCTCATTCGGTCACTGTATCCTGATGCTTGGCATTCCGGTTGCGTAATTCAAGCTGCTGAAGCACAAACTTACATTCTGGAGACCACTTATAATGTTCATCCAAGGGATTATCTTGCACTGTCCAACGCTCGATCTTCTGGCCACAGTAAAAGCATTGTACGCGATCGTTGTGGCCCGTGTAAAACAGACCTGATGCAGCTAGATTTTGTGGGTTTAGCGGGCTGTCTCTTGGCCAAGTGAGAAATGTGTTGCAACGATCCTCATATTCGGCCATTGTCGGGACATATACAAGTGTTTCCTGGTATTCTTCGGCGATAGGTTCTTGTAAAAACAATTTGCGCGACAGGCTTTGTACATGCTTTTTGCGACATGGCACAGGTCGGGAAATGGTGACGGTGCTCGTATGCTGGATTGTCTCCAACAGCCCACTGTGCCAACACGCCATTACAGAATGCGCAACAGACACGATCCTTGATTCCGGTGTGATAAGACCCTGTCTCTGCTAGCGCTGATGGGGCCAGAAACGCCAATGGCCATCGACCAAAACTTTCCAAGCGGTTGCTTAAAACACGCATGTCAGTGTCGTCATCTTTTTCATCAGTGTAGGATGTAACATGGCGTGCTCTATCCAATTTTTCACGTTGAAATTTTTCCTGCAGATTATTTTTGCCGTACAGTGTCGCGATTTCTTCTAGCGTAAAAGTATCGCTAATCCACTTGCGCAGAAAGTCCTCGTAGTGGCCTATAATAGCTTCCATATCCATTGTTAGACTTGGGAAATAGTTAATTTAAACCCGAATATCTTATCGACAGACTAATAGAAGTGAAAAAATTATGCAGTTTTGTGTAATACTGCGTCAGCTATTTGAAAAAGTTGTCTCAATGCTAGTTCGTGCCCTCCGTTGGCATCATCAAGTAATTGAGTAAAATTGCAAAGTGGCCAAATCTGGACGCTACAATGTGCAGAAAATGATGTGTGTATGTGGGTTCGCTTGGTAAATGCGACTAAGTGTGCTCCCGAGCAACCTATACTGATCGCGGAAACACGCCTCTGTGTCGGTTGTGATTGGCTGTGTCAACAATAGCGGCTGCTATGTGATGCGATACCGTTGAACAGTCGGCGCATTATGGTATTCCAGGCATTTTAAATGTGTACAGTCATTTTTAAATGTAGAAAACTGGTTCTATTATCATCATCTAAATATCGCGCATACGTGTAAACCGTGACCACTATAGAAAAACATTAAGTATTACGTGTCACTGGAATGTTCTGAAAAATTAATGAGTTCTTTCTAATTACTGGTAATGCTCCTAGGGTCGGTTAAAAACAAGAATCTTTCCAACCGCATTCATTCATCACAAGCTGAAACTGCTGCAGTTTACTACAGTCAAGTTTGCTACATAAAAAAAAATTTCAACCATCTTTCTAGTGTTGCGGCTTAAAATGCATATGGTCGCTGGATTAAATGGTAAAATCTGGTTTTATTTCAATCACGAACCCCAATCAATTTACTTTTTTTTTCTAGAATTTACTTTATTTATCTTATGCAAGATTTAATTTATTCAGCTCATGTATTTGTCTTGCCGAAGAAATACAACAATAATGGCCTTTGCCCGAGTTTTTTCAAGATGTAAATCCTTAGTAAGGGTTTTTCTTTAGTATTGGTTGTACCTAATTTCTGCAACGGAAGAATTTACGATAGGTTTGAAGCATAGCGGATACTTTTATCTAAAATGATGTACCTCTAGTAATAACAGCAAGAATTGATTATTTCAAAAAAAATACAAAACATTGCATTTATATATATTTTACAAGTAGTAGTATAAAAAACACAAAAAATAGCAGCATTATAACGGCAAAACAAAAAAAACCAGCTAAACAAAACGATCCCAGTCTTCTGGGTCAGCATTTAACGGCAAACTTTGTCCCCATGCAGAACCCATGATGCAAAAAGCAATCGTTTCCAAATCTTTCTCATCGATCCGGATGCAAACGTCCTTCTTGGTCACAACAGCGGTTTCATTGTCATCGAAAATTTCAATTTCCGTGCCATCCAAAAGACTCAATTTGGATTTCCACCCGTTTAAATTTATAATCTTTAACCAGTGGAGTAACCCACGCTCGGAAATCGTCAAGGATACATCCTGCTCATGGAAAGATTTATCTGCAGCCCGTGGATCCGGCAGTGGAGTAAACGTTAATTTGCGCTTATCACCATCAAATACAATGACAACATCCCACGATTGGTACACGAAAACAGATTCCGAATATCCTGACATTTTTCTTGACTTGAATTGTGGTAGTATTGTGTGTTTCCTATATGAGTGTCATTCATGCAGAAGTTAACATAGTTGTGCTAGCTGGGTTTATATGCGGTTACTACAAGTGTTTTAGCGGAGCCGCTTGCGCATGTACGAGTGCAGTTGTGTGAGACGTACGCGTAGTACAGATTGCCCAGTTCAAGCTATTTAAGCGCTATGACGAGTGATGTAATGACGTCATTCTCTGGCTTTCTTGGATTCGGCCTTGAGTTAAAGAGAATCCGGCCTGTAATCGAAATTTACGGTATTTCTGCAGTTCTAATAGAATGTAAGGAAATAGCGACCCGTTTATTCAACTACGCTAATTTAGTTCAAACGTTGCTCCAAGCAAGAGTTATGAGATCTGCGTACCAATAGCTCTACTTTCATGTTCCTAAAACATAATTAGCACTACTAATCTTAACATACAGTCGGAAACGATAAAGACTGCCATACAAAAAAGTATCTGTATTTTGTTAGCCAGTCAAAAGCTGCCACTGAAGTGAAAGTTGGTGTGGTCTGGAGCATACACGCTGCATATACATTGCATCATGGTAGTACAAAGTTATAAATTTATCTCAACAAAATTCGAATTTGCAAAACTTTCCCTGTGCTCCCAAAAAGAAAAAATATGTAAATATAGCAATTTCATTGCAATTAAATAGCGGATTCTCAGGATTTTACATGAAATGCTCTTTAAATTCATAATAAAAATCAGTATGAGCGGTAAAAAAAAATAAGAAAAAATATCAACAATTAATATAAGTAACTAAAAATATTAGACTATTCATTTGTCTAGCATTATGTATAAAACGTGAACTTGTTTGGACAGTTACCTTCCGGTTTAAAACGACATACTACTACAGTTTGGAATCGAGTGAGTTCTTGTTGAAACCTAACGTTCTAAGCTTTTTATTTAATTATATTTTGAAATGAATAATTTTCTCGTATGTATGTATTATAGTCTGAACATTTTGCGATACCTAAAAAATTTTGGGTCTTAGGAGAAAACCGTTACCAGGTTTTTGATGAATAATCAGATGAAATTGAACGAACTGCCAGCAATTTGTATGCGCTATTTGTTTGCAGTTGCCATATACCAGTTATGCTAGAAGATTTTATGCCCTTTTCAGTGCTCCCAGGTAAATCTCTGGCTTGGTAATCGTCGTTTCACTGTTTCTTAACGTCAACTATCCACCTTAAAATGGGGACTTTTAAACAGTGTGTTAAAATCATTGCCTTTCCCGTCTGTTGGCTGTTTCTATTGTTTGCGCTTCAACTGCTTCAACTGCTTTTTCAACTGCTCTCTCCTGCTAAAGTTTCTTCAACTGCTCTCTCCTGCAATCACTATTAAGTGCGTTCTTCTTGTGCGACGCATATTTGATACAACGATTTATTTAGCTTTGCATTAGCAAACATATTGCGCAAACGACACAACCGCTCAATTAACTATCTGCGCCATAAAAGCAAAACGTGCATTTTTAAATGTAAACCACTTTAAAAAATTCATTACAGCATTTAAGCACTATTTTATATGTATTTTAGGATAGTAAATATAAACTACACCGAGGACAGGAATATTTCGTAATACAAACAAAGCATGCACAGGTGTCAATCATAAATACTTGGGCAAAAGTGATAAAAATACAAAGTTTTTATTTTCCACCGCTTTTTAAATCAACACTAGTAAAAGCCAGCCAAACGCGGATTAAATAGCATCATTTGTCGAGGTGTATCTGCCGGCGTGCCTGCAAAACTGGAGCCTCGTGGAACTTCTCACACCACGGAGCGCCGTCCGGACGGCTGCACGGCATTTGCCTGGAAACGTGGATTGTGCCTACTCCTAGCATAGGAGGTGACATATGTAGACACGGTTGCGCCGTCACATGTCAAAGCCACCTCGATTAAAGCGGGAGCGGCCGCCGTGCAAGCAGAGGAGAAAAAAATCCAGATTTAATTTGTACCTGGTTGGCCGCTACCTGTTCGCTTCAATCGCCTTTGAAACCCTGGGCCCGTGGGGCCGTCAGCAACCGCAGTTGCCAAAGAACTGGGGAAAAGATTTCAGCAGCAAACCGGCGAAGCACGCTCGCATGAGTTTTTACGTCAGCGTTTGTCGATAGATGTTTAACGGGATAATGCGGCGTCTGTGCTGGGCACTGGGCACGATGGAAGGCCTGGATAAGCTGAAAAAATTTTCTTGTTGTAATTTTTGTTTCTTTCTTTATTTTGCCTTAAGTTTGATTTGACCAATAAAGTCACATACCTTCAGATTAACAGAACAATAGAACCCTTTTGTTTTACTTGCAGCTCCGCTTGTTTTGCTGCGCTCGCTAGCGCTACGTTTTGGCGTCGCCTTCGGCTACGCCTTTAGTTTAAACAGTAAAGAGACATGATACACTATCAAAAACAGACACAGTTACGGTACGTTGTTACAGTTAGGCAAACGCAACACTTATTACTGATAACGCTTGGTTCGAGCGGTAACGCCGGTAGCGGTAACGCGCAACAATGAACCATCCGAATACGAATAACAAAAGCGGCAATGCAGGTAACAGTGTTAACGTTAATAATGACTCCTGACTTTGCTGGGTTTCTTAAATAGATGTTTCGCTATGGCAACGTTTCAAAACTATTTCCAAAAAATGCTCAGAAGCCTTAGAATTCTTTTGATTTTGTTTAATATTTTACCACTTCTCGAATGTGCGCTTCCTAAGCGTACTCCTTCAAATAAATTTGTAACTTGCAAGCCTCGTGAGCACGAATTTCTGTAGTTCATCTTCGATGAATAACGGCGTTAGTCATTCTAAATCCATTTCAGGTTAGCTTTTTTCAGGATTTCTACATTAAGTTTATTTAAGCAACAATTAAATGATTGTTCACGTTGCAGCTCGGCGGCGCCCTCAGCTCATTTATAAAGGCGTTTAATTAATAAAGTAAAAACGTTTCATTAAGGCAACTGTTTATATGAAGGGTATCAGCAACGGTTGCGGAAACCCAAAACGGTGACACTAACATGCACGGTAATCCATTACGGTAACGGTTACAATGACAGTATCCCGCCATAGTAATCCATTACAAAACAGGTTGCGGTAACGGTAACCCGTTACCCTGAGGATTAATCATTATAGAAATTCGGTAATGATCACTCGTTGCATAAAAAATAATCTCTTATGGTAACAGTAATCCTCGTCTCAGGTAACGTACTGCGGTTACAGTAATTTTACTGATAGTAATTGGAAATGTTTGCGAAAGCTCTTCACGGTAAAAGTTACCTGTTACGGGACCCGTAAACACAAGACACTCCACCACCTACACCGGGCAAAATTTTCGGACCGGGTCAACAAAACGAGCTAGTTTTACACTTGTACAGCGGACTTTTCATTAAAATGCATAAGAATGTAAGATTGAAAAATGTATAAGTATTTCCCCAAACGTCAATTCCCGAAAACGACACGAACCAAGGGTAGCTGAAAAACCTTCCCGGGTCCAAATTTTACGACCACCCGTATATCACTGCGAGTTCGTCAATAATGACCAGGTTATATTTTACGTTACCGTTCCCCAGTACTTCTCCAGGAGTCGCTAAAAAAATCCGGCCCGGGTCCAAATTTCCGGATCCCCCGTACATTACTACGGCGGGTTCGTATATAATGACCGGGTTATAATTTACGTCACGGTTCCCCAAAAACGCTCCACCCGGGGGTCGCTAAAAAAATCCGGCCCGGGTCCAAATTTCCGGACCCCCCGTACATTACTATGGCGGGTTCGTCAATAATGACCGGGTTATAATTTACGTCACGGTTCCCCAAAAACGCTCCACCCGGGGGTCGCTAAAAAATCCGGCCCGGGTCCAAATTTCCGGACCCTCCGTACATTACTGTGGCGGGTTCGTCCCTAATGACCGAGTTATAATTTACGTCACGGTTCCCCAAAAACGCTCCACCCGGGGGTCGCTAAAAAAATCCGGCCCGGGCCCAAATTTCCGAACCCCCCGTACATTACTACGGCGGGATCGTCAATAATGACCGGGTTATAATTTACGTCACGGTTCCCCAAAAACGCTCCACCCGGGGGTCGCTAAAAAAATCCGGCCCGGGTCCAAATTTCCGCACCCCCCCGTACATTACTGTGGCGGGTTCGTCAATAATGACCGGGTTATAATTTACGTCACGGTTCCCCAGAAACGCTCCACCCGGGGGTCGGTAAAAAAATCCGGCCCGGGTCCAAATTTCCGGAACCCCCGTACATTACTACGGCGGGTTCGTCATAAATGACCCGGTTAGGTTTTGATTTTTAAGCTACCTTCTCAATTGTTTCAGCGGGGGGCTGCGCCCCCACTATATCCGCCCAAACCCAGCCAGGGCTTCGCCCTGGACCCGGGAACCAGCTCTTCGGTTCGTCACGTCACACATTTTAAATTAAAAACGCTTCGCTCGCTTCGCTCGCTCGCTTGATTACTAATTAAGGGCTAAGGTTAGGCCATTACGAACTACGGTATATAAGGTTGCAAAATAAGATTGCATGTGATGTGCCTAGATAGGACACCAATAATTTTTAAAAATCTAATAATAACTGAAGAAATCAACGCAGAATAATTAATCAAACTGGTTAGAGTAACATGAAACCTGCGACACCCGGTAAGAACCGGAAGCGGTACGTCGGTGATTGAAAGTTTAGTGCCTTTTGCTTGTCAGTTGCTGCGAAATGCATGAATACGGCATTTTAATGCGCCTTTATCCTGCCATAACTTATTCATCAGTAATACCTTCAAAATTTATTCTAGATTGCAAACGCACTTGCGTATGTTTAGAGTGACATGTAGTGCGATTGTGAACGCTTGTGGTACGAGGTATTACTGTGTTTAAGCTGAAACAGTGAAAATTCACCGGCGGGTGAAATTTAAACACCATCGACGCTTTGGCTTAATTGCATTGCCGGCATCAGTAAACCTAATTTATCTCATGCAGACTATTTGATTTAATTAGTTGTCTCCCCGTTTTCCAAATACCAGCCCATCGTTGACGGACACGATCGGCATAAGTAGAGAAGATCGAGTTTCCCATTTTTGACGCATTACATGCATGTACTACTTATGCCGTTAGGTAAAAATGCTTGCTAAAATTAATCAGACAATCTCCATTGACGATTCTATTTTGATGCAACTCACTTGAACGTACGCATTTTTAACGGGGTGTAATCGTGCTGAAAACAGCAACTTTGTTGCTCATCGCTGTGACAGTTAAATAAGCATTTAATTAGTACAGGATACTTGCGGCACAAACCCACGATTGCCAAGACTCCGGTTCCGCATGATTTGACATAGTTAATAGTTATACAGATCTATACGGTATCATATATTTTTTGCGAACCGTCGCCGTCTTGTTGTCTTATCACAGCCAGCAGTATAAAATTTTCCAAATGGTTTATGGGTCATTCATACATAAGTTGTAGAAAATATCGTTTGATAACCGGTGGTGTTATGAGAAAAGAGTTTTGAGTGCTAATGCAAGACAGATAGGAGGCCCCGATTTATGATCCATATTTCCGTTTGCCGGCAGTGCTGCATAACAAAGTCTGGGGTGTAAAGCTACTTGAAATCGTCTTGGACAGATTCTGATATATCAATAAAATGCTCTCGTAACGATTTCTCCTGCTTACTGAATCGTCTTTGCAAACGGTTAACGATCGTCAATAAATTTATTTACCGAGGGATATGTTAGGCTGCCAAGCGCGGAATATATATTGTAGCGCGCTAAATGTAAATGTACGATAGGAGTAGAGAAGCGTGATGTCATGACGTGGATATTAAAGGTGCGAGTTCTTTAGGTTAGCTGCGGAGTATAGGCGCAAAGAAAAAAATTGGTCAATTTTCTTTATTATTGTTCTGCTGGTTCTGCAATATTTTGAAATCACCACCGATGTACCTATGCGTATAAAATTCAATCACCTTCATAATTTATGTATAGTACGATAATGTATATAAATTCTCTGGTGAACAGCTGCTGCTGTTAAAGACTGATGATACAATAAATGTGGTCATCTACATTGCTTAATTTATCATGCGATTTGAACAAGACAAGCGCGTTTGTTGCATTTGATGCAGCCATCAGGGCACTTCTTTTCGTCGGCAATGTCGGTGTCTTTGCTTGTTCTGCTTTTAACTTGGCGGAAATATTATATTTCTTGAGCTCTTTGCGTCAGCAGCCTTGAATTAATCAGAAAGTTCAGTAATCATAACGCTCATAACTAAATTAAAATACATTTATTCGCATCACAATACATACATTACATCACAATACATACATTACATTAAAATACATTTATTCAATACATCACAATACATACATTACATTAAAATACATTTATTCGCATCACTCATGGCCGTGTTTAAGCATTCATATCTACATATATTATATATTACTTTAGAAGAAAATGTGACTATCTGTGTAATTGTGTAAATAAACGAACACCGTTTATTAACCGTGTTGTCAGCAAGAGTGCGAACAATAACTCGATAAGAGCAAGCAAGAATCAGAACTTTTTACACCAGCCTGCTTATCAGTTTACCAATCTGCCGCATTTACGTTACCATAAGGAATCCTAGAATCGGATTTATCTATTTTATATTCGTTAAGTGTCAATTTTCCATCCTGTGAACTTTTGAGAATGTCCAATGTTGAATGTGTTCAGTGGATGCGCTATATACAGCATAAAGTATGTCAGTGTGTGTGCCGACCGGCATCTCATCTTTTCTACCACAGCCACAACATAAGTGGTTATCCGTCCCATCCTTGAAAGAGCTTCTATAACACTCAGCAATCAAAGGGAAGTTTTTATCGACAGCAGCATCCCTTTTGCCAATGGGGAATCCATCCTGGACTACTAACGATCTGTTTGCCTCCTTCGCCGACCACGGAATCGCCGGGAAATCATTGCCCAGCAAATTCTTGACAAGAATGGTAAAATACACAACGCCAGAGGAAGGAGAGAGACAGCAAAACACGTACGAAAGACTATACATCTCTATTTGTAGCGATTAAACTGCATTAATAGCATTTAGGCGCTGCAACCTTAATCAGAACAATTTTCAATGCCGAATTCCGGTGGATTGAGCAATCACTGTATTCGGCAGTTTGCGGCTTTACAGCGTACAGCAGCAGCCACCTTCCGGTGCGACAAATCACGGAGCGCCGCTTCGGGTCGTAACCCGCCTCCAAAACTGGTTTCCACTACCGAAAATATGAATCGCATGCTGCAATACTACGCCATCGTTGCAAATTGATTCGGCTTAGCGGCGACGTATATACTGCGGGCGCGCACGCGTTAAGGAGATTTTCCAATGGAGCTCTTATAAGAAAGAGTAAAGCACCGAATTAAGCGCGCTTTTAGTTTGTGTGGATTTTTGTGGCGTTGTGAGAGTGAGTGCAGTGCGGGCATGCGTTGTTTATCAAAAACTCCGGCAGGCGTTTTTTAATTGGCCCTTTTGTCAACCTTTAGTTTTTGCGTTGCAGTGAATTGACCTTTTCGGTATTGCGTTTGGTTTAGGGGCGTTATTATTTGTTTTGTTCTTGATAGTTAAGAGTTTTGGTTGTCGCCGTTAATCTAATGCATCACGGAGTTGACCAGCGGTCAGCGTTGACCTTATTCCTAAATTAGTTTCCTTATTTGATTAATTCACTTATCTCCCTCTAAATTTATCGCATCTCTATTCCGAATTAAAGCAGCCTTTCGTGATAGTATTGCCAGCTGTGGTTAAAATTTTTTCAAGTGACACACGTGCGTTCGGTCGAAGCCGGTGGAAACAACAACAATAACAGTTGAGTGTTATTATTGGACCTTGTAAAACATCCATGTCGTCACGACGGTGGTGTTAAAGTCTGTTTCTCTCTCTTCTCCTCTCTTTTCTTTCTCTCTCCACCATCTGCTCAGCGAATTCGCACTTGACCAAAAAAGTTGCCAGCCGCGTTTTCTATTGTATACGCCGCATTGGCGCTCATATTTTTCTAATTCCGGTAATAAAATATCTCAAGTAGCTGACGTCAGCGCTTTTGCGACTGCCGCCGCACTGGGGATCGATAATTAGCATCATCATGTCCACGGAATCAGAGCCTGTCCTGACCTTTAGCACCCCCTCGCCGGTGCCGGCCAACAGTGGTTCCTCGAGCACCGGAAGTCCCGCCGCCACGGCTACCTCGCAGTCGGGCACCGGAAGCACTAATCGGGTGGAGAGTGTGTCCGCATCGACAACTAACAATAATCATTCGTCGCCGGTTCATCACCATCATCATCCGCATGTCTATCCTTCCATGTACAAGGATACCACATTCACAAAAATTTTCGTTGGCGGACTGCCGTACCATACTACGGATAAGACGCTGCGTGATTATTTCGAAGTTTTTGGGGATATCGAAGAAGCAGTGGTTATCACTGACCGCCAGACGGCGAAGAGCCGCGGATATGGATTTGTATGTATCGCATCTGTCAATTTTATTAATTTCCACAAGACGTTAATACTGTATTTCTCTCGGCATTAGTCAGGAGCTACAAACATTTAAAAATGATAAATATCTTTCGATATAAAACACAGGATTTATAATTTATATGTATTTGAAAACTGACATTTGCAGCTAATTTTGTAGCTAAAATTATGTGATCCAAAATTTAATCTTTCTATTGTATACGCCGCACGACGACGACAGGAAACGACTTTCTCGTTTCCTCATGCTCTTTTCTTGTTGATAGCACACCTTAAATTCCGTTTATATCAAAAATTCGATTTATGTACCTCAAACAACAATGGCGAAGACGGCAAATTAAAGCAATACAAAATAAAATCAACAGTTATTCAGGAGTGTTGTCGCCAAAATTTCAAAGCGTGTCTGCTGGAAGACATCTATCTATCTATACGATAATCCGATACGTAGTTAAGTTTGCTGCGCTTTTTATGCTCCATCCGTAGCCTGGATTCCCTAGAGTAGAAAAAGTTAATGTGCACGTCCCGGGATTTTTTCTGACTAGCGGCTATTTCGGTGGGATAATAAGGAGTTACGTATGAATGGTTATAAAGGAGGCAAATACATACGTAGAAAAAGCGTTTGGACCAGAACAGACAGTTCGCGTGCGTCAGTTATATATCGAGCATTATTGTACATGTACAATATGCAGTACATGAATAAGAAGAACTGATGCGCCTACAGTGGTGTATTGAATTATGGTGATGTTTTTTAGGTTACCATGTTGGATCGAAGTGCAGCGGAACGGGCCTGCAAAGATCCGAATCCTATTATTGATGGACGAAAAGCAAACGTCAATCTCGCATATCTTGGTGCAAAACCCAGGACTAATGGCATTGGTATGTCATGTTGTTATCCAATCTATCTATACGGCAACTCACGCTGGCTGCCGTGCGCTGCACACTTCGATACACTCTGACTATGCGACCATTTAATGCCAAATAATTTTAATCCTTCTGAATTGAGAAGTAGCGAAAAGCTAATCTTTTTTGTTTTTCAATATACGACATCGGAAAGCGGCGGCTTCAGAAATAATTATATTTACAGTGTGAAATTCAAGGTCTGTATTTCTAAGACCAGCAATTATTACGTTTTCAAACTGATAATTATACAACTGCCATGTGACAAAATGAGATAAAATTAAGTGGTTAAAATACTGTATCTGCAGCGTAATGCTGCCTTTTTGATTCAATAAAATTGAATTTTCTTCATTTTCTATAATAAAGTAAACCTGTCGTCAATTTTTTTCGACTGCACATATTATATACACTTTCAACTCGTGCCATTCTTTGCAACTTAAACTGCACCGGAATTCTCGTACTGTCCAGTTCAGAGCAGTTTGGTGGTTAATAATCGTGAGAAACTGTGTTGTTCGGAGTCTTTGATTAATCGTGCGAATACGGATATGAATTAATGTCTTTTGATTGAAATCAGACTATAAGAAGGTGTTGCTATTTAGTGGACAAGCCAGATTTTGCCGGCCCATTACGTGTGCCGAATATTATTCCGTCTGCCGACTTCGTACCGGTAGAAAATAGCATAATTAGAGCTTAAGTGAGCGAGGATATTGTTGTTATGTGTTCTTCGCTCGGCTTCAGTGTGCAGTATGCTTAATAACATTTTGTAGCTGTGCTTTTATATGTATCTGATCACGATGATATACAGCTGATCAACATTCGTATTGCGCTAACAATTATCTTTTGTTTTTTTGCAACAGTGTTACTAAGCTGATCAGTTTAACTAATAAAAACATGTTGAATTTTTAATTGTAATTTTCGTTGTTAAAATGATCAAAGGACCTTCTCAGAAAATGATTTCAGCTTCGACGAAATTACGTGTCGGCAACACAATATTCTTTGTAAAACCTATAACTTTAGCAAAGCGGCATCACAAGGATTTTAATTTTTCGTGATAGCTCAAGAGCAGTTTTTTTTTGCGGCATCTACTGTATAATAATGTATGCCAGTTGATCACGAAGACTTAACATATTTTTGAGTCAGCAGTTTCTACACGTTCATATTTGCAAATTAAAAGAGATGTGAAGTCGGATCACTCCGCCGTAGACGTGTGCATACTATATTTTTAAAGTAGCGCTGATCGAGTGGCTAAGCATTTAAAAAGTAAGAGAAAGGCAGCAGGCTAACTAGTCTGGAGAAATAGCTATTTTCGGTGCTTTGATTAAATAAGCCCAGATCATAATTCACAAGCAGCTTCGTTCGTCAGCGCGCACGGAGACTAACCATAGGCGTAGTATTCTTTTTAAAGAGTAAAGATGTCCCTGTAATGTCGAGGGTGCAGTAGCAGATTGTAGTGGCTGGTGCAAATGTGCCGTATGTACATACGAATACAGGACTATACACATTTCCCACATCCAGCATCGATTCATAGTGTACAATGTACATCTTTATGCACGCTTAGGATTGAATTTGACAGATTTCAATATAACCGAATATGTGCCAAATTTAGGTGTGTGTGTATGTATGTAGACACGACTGGGGATTTAATATCAAAGCAGAAATTGCTCTCAACCGAGCTTGTTAAGTAGTCTCCTAAGAGCACTTGACCGGTGTTTAAAGAGCACCTTTAATTTGCGAATAAAATGCTACCATTTGATTGAATCAAGAGATTTTTTGATTTCCGATGCAAAATATTCCAAATCCATTTATTGATTATCCTTTAGCTAATAAGATATTGGGTAATATGCACTTTGACCTTTAAATCAATATACTACATTTTATAATATTATATTGATGGTAACCTTCTATTCGTCGATCTCGGCAAAATCTGGAGTTAATACTGTCCATGTAGTAATCCCGTATCATAGGATAAATGAAATGCACGAACTGAATTATTTTCCAACTTTTTTGGATTGACAAACGAGCGACTTCAGGAGATTTAAAAATAAATTTTTTGAAAAATGATTTGAATTTATGAGTCCGATAAGATAATCATATTAAAAAATTCCTCCATCAAGATAATTAGTGATCCCGCTGCGTTTTGTGTTTCTTATATAAAAGTGCAACAAGACTCGAGAATGTACGGAAGGCGCCTTAATTATCGTGGCTGGTCATTAAACAGTTTGATCAATCATCGGACTGCTGGTAGGGTGGCGAGTGTTCCGACTTTAAATCGGATAAGTAATGACTACAGCATGCTGTGTGTGCTATAAACACCACTATGCTTATGTAATTCCGACAACGTCACAGTGCCGGCGGCGGAGAATTAGCATATTTTGGATACAGTCTGGCGAATATTGCTAGCAATAAAATCAATAAATCAAAACAGCAAAGTTTAATTTTGCCATTGCACGGGGTAGTAAGTGAGAGTGCGGCCATCGTTTTTGCCGGCAATTGCTTTGATCCAACACCAGTATTGAGTCTTTCCCGTATCACATTGTGCAGTGTAAGATGCATTTACCTTACACTGGCTTTATCAATAATACATTCTTGGTTCTTAAAAAATTGTAATTTTTACAGAACTCAACCAATGTCAACACAATTTTATAATAAAATCTGAGAGCAAGCGTGGCGCAGAATCCGAAGATGGTTATTTCTATGAATGAGTTTGGGGCGGAGAAGAGAGCATCCATAATCGCATTCATAATGCCCACAATTCTAATTTGAACTTGGCAATAAAGATGTCAACCTTCGTTGGGCCAATCAGTTGTGATTTATGATCGTTTGAGAGGGTTTGGATCTGGTTGGCTCCAAAAAATTTGTTTCCCACTTTCTTGCCATCAATCAGCGACGATCGCCACACCACTGTGTAGAAGCAAGCAGGTCGAGGTCACATCTAATTAAGCTTAATTAGATATAATCCTAACAAATGCTCCGTACACTACGTTATTCAAAAGAGAAATAAATATTTATCGTAATCACCTAATTAGTAAAACCTTTTTATATTTTAAAAATTTTCCATGCTAATTAATACTATTTTCGATTAAGGTTTAATGTAAAGATGAAATTTAATTTAATTTTTAGTTGCGCTAAGCAATCGCTCCTCTTGCAGTTGTTAGTGAAGAAAAGCGGCGGATAAGATTTGCTGAAATGCAGTTTCAAATACACTGTCGACTTTAGGAGTTTTAGATTGACGCCATTCGCATTAAGCAAATTTTCTCATCTGGCAGTCAAAATGAAAGTGTGTCTGTTTAATCAAGTTTCAAGTAGTCGCATATGTAAAGATAGCAGACCATAATACTGTCCGCTTACTGCACTCAATGTTTTCTTCGAATGCGCAACCGTCAACGCATGCTCCGTATAGTAGCGTATATACAATACATATTTATGTATATCAAAATGATCTTAATCAGCCCGGCAGCCAAAAATAACTGTTGTCTTGTCATTGAATCTCGTATCTCATTTGGAAAATTCAAGCCTGCATCGGAAGATGTCTTTATCTTAACATAAAAGTGCATTTTGTCCATGTGTGTGTTTGTAGCAGTCCTCCATGCTCGAGCTGCGGCAGCCGCTGCAGCTGCCAGTTACGCCCCATTCCTTCAAAGTCCACTGGGGTAAGTGAGATCCGAAATAAAGTTCATCTAAATATTATGATAATTCAAGTGTCATTCCAATCATGACGCACAGAATACGGCAACGCTACGCGCATAGAAAGCAAAGTATAAAATACCAGAAAAGTTAAGCACGATGATTATAATTTTTTATCGACATTTCGTAATCAGAGAAAGGTCGTACTTTATCACATAATTTTTTTTCTTGATTTTAAGTTAACAATTTGATATGGTCGGATTTTAATCACCTGTTCAGTTATAAATATGTTATAAATATATATATTCAGTTATAAATATATATATATATATATTCTGTTATAAAACCATCGAAGCAAATTACTTATATTTAAAAAATTTGGATCATTACTGGTAACTGGCTGAATAAATAAACATTATCAACAAGCTTCCAGTTAATACAGTTCATATTGAGCAGCTTTGGAGTAAATAGCCGGGCAAGTATGATGATAATGACTTATGGAGCGTTTGACCATCGCTGGGGGTAAATTTAGCTCCTGTGTATTTGTACTCGAAAACATAAAACAAACGCATCATCTCCAACCGGAAGCATAGGCCAGTTAGCACTTAGTCAGACGTAGCGTGCACCGCACAGACTTCCATGCAGCCTGTACTGACACAGACCCTTCTTTTCCATTCCCATAACATAATGTCATGTTTACATATGTAATGTCGTTTGTGGGGATGGCAGATCTGTCTTAGTCACACTTAAGCCCCTGACGACGCATTAACCATCCATGTGTAATTTTCACAGTTATCCATCACCATACCTCTATCCGTCGCCCATCCTCATCCCCAATCTCTTCCTGCCCAACCACTCCACGCCCTCCCCGACGGGGATCACCAACGGAACCGGCCCGAACGGGGCGGCGGCTACGACGTCGCCGCCGCCCACGCCGGCGGTCTCCTCGGCGGCGCAATCCTACTACGATTTCTCCACGGCCGCCGCCCTGGCCGCCGCCGCCTCCTCCTTCGTGCAGGCCCAACAACAGCAGCAACAGCACCCGTATCCTTCCCTGTCCGCTCCCTATGCCAGTGCCTTCAGCCCGGATGCGGCGCTGTACAATTTTGCTCCATACGCGACGGGACTGAATTACGGGAACAGTGCCAACCATGGCCTGATGACCATTGGCCAGCACCCCGCTGGCTCCGCCCAGGGATCATCGGCCTCTTCCAGTTCCAGTGGATTCAGCAGCAATCATCACATGATACCGGCACAGGCGCTGCGCGGTGAAAAATAATTAATTTGTTGCCATCATTCTTAATTCTTATATAATCTATTCTTCTTCGTATTGCTAGTAGTTTTTAACACTGCTTAATTTTATTTATGCAATATCCAACATTAGAAAGTATTTTAAGAAATAGTTGCCTGATTTGATGTAATTGACGTTTGTGCGGCGATCTACAAAGAAATCTCTCTGAATTTTGGAAAATTTCCCCTTGAACTTCCGGCCACGTCTCTTCTCATGTTCTCTTTGCCTTTTCCTTGATCGTTCAAAGATTTCTCTGCAATGAAAATATTTTTATCGGATACGGAAATTGTTTTCAACTTTTCCCAGCGTCAGCAGAATTTTTTTCTTGATGCAATTTGATCCAGACAGCTATAAGCTGCATGCGTATATAAGCACTTTCTGGACGGTTCCTATATACAGTTTTGGTGTTGTAGTGTACTTTGAAAATGTTAAGACTTAACTGTCTGCTCAGTGCCAGTTTTTTTTAAAACCAAGGCGTCTCCCCGTCACCTAGCGTTGACGTCGATGGCGGACGTCATTCGATGTCTTTTTCTAGTATTGGGAAATTACATGTTGGATTATGTAACCTTATTAAGCTTTACGCGCATCTGTGCGCAGCCAGCAAAATCCAGTATATTATCCGATGACTGTATTCAAATGCAATAATTGTGGGACGAAACGTTTCCGAGACGGAGATATGTTCTATGCCTTATTGTTGGACGTTGTTCATTCTGTAGCTTCCACTGTTATTCTTCTGTTAAAAATATGTACTTAATAGTTCTACTGTTGTAACTGTTGGCATACTTGTTCTGTAATATGTAATCTTATAATTACCTGTTTTAATTCTTTTATGGATCTACTATTGAATAATAAAAAAAACTGGGTTTATAGTGCCACATCATTCTCTTGACGCAACAAGTGACATCGGCAATATAGACTTGATACACAGTATTCTCCATCACTTGTTATACGCCGTACCGTGTTCAATGCATACACTGACATTTATTATACCAGTACTTCCGCTGACGAGTAACACTACACAATGTATTAATCGTAACATTACACAGCATATTTATAAAACACAAGTTGATAACTTGATCCGTACCTGAAGTGCGCAATTTTAATTAATACGTTTGGCTTCTGATATCCGAGAAATGACCGGTCACAATTATCGCATAGCTGGGCGAGAACGTTAGTGCTCTGTAATGTGTTGTTTTACCCGCTTACGTGTATTGCAACTTACTAAATTTAACTTTTTTCTGGGCAGTAACGTATTCGATAATGACCGTGAACACTAGCTTACTTATTAAATGAAAACACCGTTGAACTTGATATTTTTAAGTTCGGCGTAAAGTGGTGTTACGGACGTACATTGTCATGTCAATTTTAAAATATAGATAAACGGGCACAATTAGTAGCTGTTATTGATGGTTGTTATTAACAATACGCGCATACCACTTCTGTACGAGCACTGTAGCAGCAGTATGAAATTTCACTTTTTAGGTACTTGTGCACTAAATTCGCGTATAAAGTATAGGGATTTCTGCAGGTTTGCTGGCGACACTGCTATGAAGTATGAATTATTAACCTGTTTTTCCGTTGCATGTTCCTTTGCTTTCAGTTAGTTTTTGTAGTGTTTGTATCCTTTGAAAATCTATGGCATTGTTCGGCAAGTTTCAAATAGTAATGTCAACAGCAGCATGCTTCCTTACAAGTTATCACTGTGTTCTGACGTAGGTAGACGCTGATAAGAAATCCATTAATGCTTAAAAGATTTTCTTTTCATTCGTGTTTACAGCGCTGGTTCAGCGTGGTGTTACTTATTTTCTGGTTACAATAACAAACCGCTTGTTGGATTTTCCTCCACCTGCATTAATTTACGACACAATGCGATACATTTTCGTCATGTAGCGGACCGAGCAAATTTGTAGGAGCTTAAACATAAGTACTTAATCACAGCCCAATATACCAATTAATAATATATCAACAGCCCAATAGTTATATTACTTACTTATTATTGTTAATAGTCTTACCGACCGTTACCTACAGTATTGTATTGTGCGTGGAGAGCCTACCAGTAGATGTTCTGTTGTAACTTCTTACTCATGAATCATGATCATACCTTTTTTGTTAATGAAGAGGAACTTAAAAATTCAAGCAAACTTACTGGCGCTAGCTCACCAAGGTAAAACTTTTATAAGTCAACATCCACATTAAGCATACAGATATTTCGGAATTCTTACATGCAAGTATCGATTACGAATCATCAGCTAAACCGATGCCTGCAGTCGCTGCACCCATTTAACGATAAACGCAACGTAGAAATAAATGAAACAAATGCATGCAGTGCAGTGCGTACTTTAACGTCGTTGCGGACCTTGCGGTATACATCCATGTAATTATGCTGGGCATTCCAAACCTTACTGTTATCCAAGATTCAAGTCAAAATCAATACAAATATCTTGAATTAAACTTCACAGGAACTGATGAGCCAGGACAAGAAAGCGGAATTCGAATTGCTACGTAGACTGTCGCCAATCCTACTATTACTGAACTACACGTATGACGCGATGCAGAAAAGCAGTCGGTTTCTGATTGTTTTTAACCAACGCAACAATCTCGTGTAAGTAAAACAAACCATTTGTTTAAAGGAAAATTTCGCTTAACAGCTAATATATTACGCTCTCTGTAAAAGATAAAAACCATAGCAAGCTATAAATCCCAATATGAACTCGCCATAAACCGGATAGACGAAAACTACAGACAAATAAAAGAGTAAAGTTTAAAAGGAATTCATCGAAAAAAAATACTATGACCCATCACCCGAACTACCACAACCATAACCACGGAATGCTTCCCTTACTGCTAGCTCCAAACATCAGCAGAGTATCGCCGCTGCGATTCAAGCTTCTTGACAAAGGCCTGCGCATCGCTTTCCGACAAATGGCCATGCGTGTGACAAATCCTTTCGATTACCTCGTGAACATCCCGCGCCATGTTGCGGGCATCACTGCGAAATCGACATCTTTAACAACTTAACATAACCAATGCACATCCAACAGACCCACTAATGGTAAGCGGGAGCCGTTAAATAGCGCAGGACCTTCACCCATTAACGCGACTGCATTAAAAGTATATTCTGTGCAAAAAAATCTCAACTCACCCGCAAACATAAATATGGCCACCCTTTTCCAGCAAATTCCACACCTCCTCCCCATTATCACGCAGTAAATGCTGCACATACACCTTCTCCGGTGCATCGCGGGAAAATGCTGTGTACAATTTGGTCAGTGTGCCAGACTCAACGAAACCCTCCAACTCCTCATTGTAAATGAAGTCTTCCGCTTTTTTACGGCATCCAAAGTACAAAATTGTCTCTCCAACCGCTTTTCCTATAATATCCAGGAAAAATTAGAACCGAAAACGAAACTGGAAATTATGCAAGTAAAACGAAAAAAACTACTCTGTCACCTTCGCGTCTGAGTAAGTCGCGCTCCTGAATAAAGCCACGAAAAGGCGCAACACCTGTCCCAGGACCGATCATGATCACGGGTGTTTGTGGTTTGAAGGGAAGACGGAACTGTGAACGCCGAACAAAAACAGGAGCGGTGGCTGGCTCTGGATCATCCAGTGGTTTAATATCCTTATTCTTCAGCCAGTAGGTAGCCACTCCATGATTTGTACGCCCAGTGGGGGTTTCGTAGTCCACCAACACTGCTGTGATATGGATGGTTGTCGCGTAGAGCTTGGGAGATGATGAGATAGAATAGTAGCGGGCTTGAAGACGAGGCAACATTTCACATAAATGATCTGCGGGTGGTTTAACGGACGGCAGATCCTCCAGGATGGCGACAATGTGACGGCAGTCTCTGATAACCCAATCATTGTACTTGGCCTAAAAAAGTTTACCGATGTTCAACTTTGGCAGGTAAATTTCAGAAGCTTCAAATGCTGATTTCAGATTGTTATGCTGGAACAATTACGCCACTATTAATATCATTACCTTTCCTTCATCACTGCGGGATGACATAAGTTTCAAGAATTCTTTGTGCTCCGGATCAGCTGCATAGTCGGATAACTCTTTCAGCACGTTCGTTCGCACCGGCGTAGTAATGTCGATATAATATGTGAAAGCGGTTCGGTATGAACAGGGACACGGAAATGGATGCTTCTTACTGGAATCTTCTACAAATTTCACAAATACCGGTTCATTAGAAAGAAATGATGTAATTTTCAAAGCGCATGTCGCGACACTGAAATTACGATTACGAGGCCGGTGCTGGGGAAAGAAAGATTAACTCGCACATTGACGAAGATTACACGAGGGCAAAGGTTGGTGCAAATAATGGAACGACCATACATGTACAATGAATATTATGCGTATATTTCACAACTAAAATCCCGTTGAACAAACTCTTTCTCACTAACCGCGAAGATTAATGGCAAGAAATACTGCAGTACTCAACTAATATTTTTTCTAGTTAAAACGGATGCCGTATTAAAACTACACAACCACCAGCCATCACAGCATCTGGATTCTTAGTGGACATTCTTCTTAATCCGAAAAACAATATAAATGCACTTCAGAATTCAGGCTTACCATCCAAATTAACCAACGTGAAGATAGAGTCCAAATCAACATTTAACACTTCTCCAAGCTTATCCACCAAAGCCTTCTCATTTGCAGGGTACACCGCAACATGGTCACCGGCGTCGTATCTGATAAGGATAATTCACATTTCGTATGATAAAAGAGCTCCCCTAGTTTACGTAACCGCTTATCGTCCAGCTCACATTTTATATTGTCATCAGTATCTCATTCATACCTTAACTTTGACCCGGTAATGTCGATTTCGATATGCATGCACGATCTGTCGCCACCATGGTGAAGTTCACGTTTGCTAGTCACTTTGGCCATAAAAGGATTCTTCGCGTCAAAAGGCCTACAAACAAGGGCCTCTCAAAATAACTTAGTTTCAAGTTTAATGAATTTGACTGCTACTATCAGTATACCTTACGCCACTGCGGCCCCAGAAAATTTCACGAATATGAGCAAAAGTTGCACTACCATTTTAAAGTTTAAAGCCTACGAGTAGTTGCCATATTACAGTTCTTGACTAATTACTTTCGTTTGGACTAAACGGATGCCTTGGTGGCACTTACGGTCGCTGTAACTTGAAGGAGTTTAGACGGCCCGGTTCACCGTGGAAGATCTTTTCTTCAGGGATATTTTCCGGGATAACCAATTTAAACTGTCGCATATTCATTTCTTCTCCGTGCTGTTCCAATCCAAAATGCTCGCACACAGCCGGCCAAAATTTATCCTTCCACGTAATGAAATCGTCTTCGATGCTAAACACGTAAAAACCGTTACAATGAAGCGAAAACACAAATCCTGGCGGCTCGCTCCGTTCTAGCACAGCACAAGCTAAAAAGTCTCCATACTTGGCATCATCGTCGCCAAATCCGATCTCGAAAACTCGTGTGGCGCCCAGTTCCGCCATCCTCTTGTCGACCAGCTTGCCGAAAGCATTATAATGCTCGTAGGTCTTATTGCCCAGTGCGAACACCGCGTAATTAAGACCAGATAAATCTGCGTCGTTGTTCTTCAACCAGTCATGCAGTTCCTGCGCGTTATCAGTAGGATCGCCTTCTCCGTAAGTAGCAACACAAAAAATGATCAGGGAATTGTCAATTTCTTTCAGTTTTGGCAGTTCTTCCATGTCGTACTCTTCCGGATCGGCCGACATGCCTTTCAGTCCAAAACGCAGGGTGTCTTTTGACAGGCGATTAGCGAATTCTTCTGCAGTTCCTGTCTGGCTACCGTAGAATACCACTACATTCTTGCCCTAAAAAAATTGAATTTTGACAGAACCTAACGACAGTTTGTTGTTCAACGAATTTCGATGCCGAAGAACAGATGAAAACTGGCACTTTATTTGCGACTTTGCTAAAGTTTTCAGATGAGATTTTTCAAACACGGTACATTACGAATTTAGAACGAAAAAATTAAATAGCAAAGGTACAACGATAACAAAACTATAGCTAACAATTTCCTTCTATAATGTACCATCCGCATTTTCATACAGCTGCGCTACCTCCTATGACAGGGTAAACATAAATTTGCTGACAACTTGTAATTTGCGATATACCTACCGATGCTTTCATTTTGTCAACAAAACCTCCGCTTGAAGTCTCCGTATGTGTAGCAGGTCTACAATATAATCATTATAATGCAATGCAGATTATCGATCAGCTGTCTAACCACATGGTACGGCATAAAAAACCCTGTACCACCATATGAAATTGCACCTTAGAAATGGAAAACAGGACTTATTGCGTTAAATTTAACAATTCCCACTTACATCACAGTTAATTTGGGTTCACTAATCGATGACAGTTTGCTTTTCCTGCGACTGAAAAACCATGCTGCTGACCCAAGGATCACCAAAAGGAGCAACAGGATATCTCCTGTTCCCAGGGAGGAAAGAAACGAAGATGCGGATTCCACGGCTGGGGCACCGTTCGGATCCGAAACAGGGTTCGACGCACTCATCCTTGCTTATAAAGTGGCTACCTCCAGCTAAATTTTCTGCTTCTTCATAAAACACTCAAAAGTTTCAAAATCACAAAATGAACAGTCAAGCGAAAGCAACTGCAATCGATGGAATGCCTCTGCCAAAGCACCATCCATGCAGGCCGCGGTGCGCACGGGAAATTTCAAATGCTGAACGTAAAAACCACCCGAAATCAGAAATCTGAAGCATAACCGGATTGGGCCACATACTGTAGCTGCAAGCCTCTGGGCTGCAATTTTAACCGGAATCAGTCAACATGTGAAGCGATGACTAATTTAAGCCGATGTTATACTTCCATATGACGGCCAAAATGATGGCGCGTCATAAGCAGCATACGACATAATCATATTCAACATTTAAAACATGAAACCAAAAATGATTATGCCGTATGTTAAATGGTAATTGGTAATATGCTATCACCAGTAAAATGAAACGGAAGTATGAACCAACTCGTCAGAAATGTTAACAAACCGTTAACCGCCCGTGGTGGTGATATCGCCACCTACATGGGGCGACAGCTTTTACCTAGCATATTGTTGACATAAAAATATGTCGAAATGAGCAGGTTCATTATGACATTTTTTATGTAGCATAGTCAACATGCGAGCGTCATGCGCTCATGTTAACATTTTTTATGCAAACGATTCATACTTTTATGTTCAGCATAAAAAATGTGCAGCATAAAAGTATGAATGCCGATCACATATATGACAGCGTATGCTAGACATATTGGCCGTCATGTGGAAGTATAACATGGGCTTAACGCATCATCAGCACGTGTATTTTCTTCAGTAGGCTGGATAAGTTCTAAACCTGACATCAACCGGCAGAACACAGAGTACAGTAGTAGAATTAGAGTATTTATTAGACTCAATTAGTGTAATAACCGGGTATACAACGCAAAAATGTTCTAACTTCTTATTCCTGTTAGTTCTTCTTTTAGGACGTTTTTAGTGCCTAGTACGTATTAGTAAGAGAGCTAATAATTGGCATAACTTAGTATGCGGAGGTCGATATATATATACAAGAAACAGCCTCGGCTTCGCCTCTGCGTTTCTTGGGTTCTAAACTCCTTGGCCGGTTTACGGATTGTTGACTTAGAACGGATAAATCTGAAGAGCCCGATAACAAAAATTTTATAAAAAATTGGATGTTTTGGTTTCGTACAGTCGAACGCAATTACTTTGACTTTACAGATAATTTTTTTGTTAAATTTTCTTAGCGAAAAACAATCCGAATCTAATCACCCACGAGAGTATCACATTACAAACTAAAAGGACGCTAAGACTGGACAGTGGTGCTAGATAGGTCACCCATTAAGAACTTAGCAGGCCCTGCTCTATTTTGCTCAGTAATATTGGAGTTTGGTCATACGTTCACCTAACGGGCTCTGTGCACTGGACAGTATTGGTAGCTCGGTCACCCATCTACCTAACGGGATCTATGCACTGGACAGTATTGGTAGCTCGGTCACCCATCTACCTAACGGGATCTATGCACTGGACAGTATTGGTAGCTCGGTCACCCATCTACCTAACGGGATCTATGCACTGGACAGTAGGGGTAGCTCGGTCACTAGATCACTTAACGGAGTTCGTGCACTGGACAGTAGTGGTAGCTCGGTCACGCGTTCACCTAACGGGCTCTGTGCACTGGACAGTATTGGTAGCTCGGTCACCCAACTACCTAACGGGATCTATGCACTGGACAGTATTGGTAGCTCGGTCATCCACTATCTAACGGGATCTATGCACTGGACAATATTGGTAGCTCGGTCACCCAACTACCTAACGGGATCTATGCACTGGACAGTAGTGGTAGCTCGGTCACGCGTTCACCTAACGGGCTCTGTGCACTGGACAGTATTGGTAGCTCGGTCACCCAACTACCTAACGGGATCTATGCACTGGACAGTATTGGTAGCTCGGTCATCCACTATCTAACGGGATCTATGCGCTGGACAGTATTGGTAGCTCGGTCACCCAACTACCTAACGGGATCTATGCACGGACAGTATTGGTAGCTCGGTCACCCATCTACCTAACGGGATCTATGCACTGGACAGTAGTGGTAGCTCGGTCACGCGTTCACCTAACGGGCTCTGTGCACTGGACAGTATTGGTAGCTCGGTCATCCACTATCTAACGGGATCTATGCACTGGACAGTAGTGTTAGCTCGGTCACGCGTTCACCTAACGGGCTCTGTGCGCTGGGCAGTATTGGTAGCTCGGTCACCCATCTTCTTAACGGGATCTATGCACTGGACAGTAGTGGTAGCTCGGTCACTAGATCACTTAACGGAGTTTGTGCACTGGACAGTAGTGGTATCTCGGTACTCTTTCACCTAACGGGTTCTGGGCACTGGACTTTGGTGGTAGCTCGGTCACGTACTCACCTAGCGATTTTTTGACGCACTCAATCACTAGGTGAGTGACTGACCGAGCTCAACCTGTCCAGTAAGCAATATCGCTAGGTAAGGAGAAAAATCGCTAGGTGAGGATGTGACCCTGCTACAACTACTGTCCAGTACACAGAGCCCGTTAGGTGAGCAAGAGCAAAGCCTGCTCGATGACTCACTCACCTAGAAATTCCGCTCAGTGGGCAATAATGGTGTTTCGGTCACTCACTTGTCTAGTGATTTTTCTTACTGGTCAGTGGTGGTAGCTCGGTCACCCACTCATCTAGAGGTTCCGCTCAGTGGTCGGTGATAGTGTTCCGGTCACTCACTCGTCCAGTGATTTTTCATATTGATTTTATATTTGATATTTTTACATTTTACCTCGTATATCGGTTGATTTTAAACGTGTTTCGAGCTCGGCAACACCGGCAGCAATGTTTGAATAACGCGAGTGTTTGAATAAATACAATAATTTATTTATTTTTCGGTTTAATTAGTGTGATAATTATGTCAATTGGTATTTTGTATTGTATCTAAGCAAATTTTTCTAAGTTTCAAGGTGACCTTTAAGATGGGTTGGATCAATCTTGTCTTGATGCCGGCTTGATGCCGGCTCGATATTTTCATAAAAAAAAACACATGCCGGCCACTTCTGAACTATCCCGGATCTAATGGCGTTGTCCGTTTTTCCAGAAGTTTTATGGTTATAGAGATCTCAAAACTATGGGGCGCCGCGCGTAGTATAGATCTTGTACTTAATATATATATGTCTAATCTTCTGGCCTTTTAATGGACAAAGATCCTAAAATTAAGGGAATTATATTGACCAGCGGTGAGGTTGCTACATAACATTAATCGAAAACCACTTCAGCACTGGGCTCGATTTTGGTTGGGAAGGACATGTTCACTTCCTCCGCTTTACATACTATCATAAAATTTAAAAGGTCATCTGGGCAAAACTGAGAATGGAACTTGTGGAACCGGAGAATGAAATGACAGTTGGCAAAGCCATTATACGAGCATGCATAAATGATAATACAATTATCGCACATACTTGTGGCTTTGCAGAGTTTAATTTGCTGCTCTAATCGTAACAGTTCCGTATTTTCCGCCCAGCCTGACAATTTCACGCGGCTCACTTTGCAGTTGCATCCTTAATCAGCAGTTTATTAAAGCAAAACTCTTCGCATGAAAATTTTAATATATGACCACATGTGCGTGCAATCAAACCAAGTACTTGCGTTAATTTTTATTCGGAATTTTACGTGTAACTGGCAGTTATTACAAGTTGTATAATACATGTGAGAGCTTCCTCTCCGTGCAACCGGCCCGAGAAAAATCTCTCGAACTTTGAAATTAAAACTGTCACTTAGAGGTCTTTCTGTTGGTTTGGCGGAAAAGTGGCGCCATTTTCGTTGGGTGGAATGGCGCCGTCTGGGGCGATCAAAAGGTTAGGACTATACCGCCTTATGCAGTCACGATCGTACATATCCAGATAATGCCAACTGAAAGCATTATAGAAACGGGTCACACTTTCCCAGGCTGAGTCCAGCTCGTCATCGTAGACGGTGGTACCCAGGATGAATCGAGCCGCCTCTTGTTCGGCATCACCCAGACTCTGAAAATGGCAGTCGTATAGTCGCGTGGCATAAAATTCTGCAGAGAAAATTATGCGGGACGAAGGAGGCTTTTCACAAGCTCACCTGAGCAGTGATTTGGACAAATTTGGCGTGCTGGTTAGCCAAATTCATTCCATGCCACATGTACGCAAGCTCATCGCACTGTTCAGTCGCAGTGCCTAGAGAAATATTCACAATGAATTGTTTTATTTCAGTTTTTGTCATTTTTAATGCGATGGCTATGAATCGCAAGATTCTTATGTTGACTTAAATTGAACGCTTCTTACCGTTGTCGCCAGCCACAAGAGCCACTGCAAAAAAAGAGTTTAATGAGCGTAAAGTCCTTGGACAAAGTTATACAAAGTTATACAAAGGTAAGCACAGCAGGAATTAGTTTACTTACACACTCCCCAGTGGAAGTTGCTGAAAAATTGAAAGGGTTATATTAAGATGGAAACCGAGATCCGAGTGTGCACTGTGCGACTTACTTTCCAAGTTGCTGCATATTGAAATCCGTATCAGCATCGCTCCAGATCTGTTCTTCGTTGGTCAACCCAAAAAGAGCCATAGTTTCCGGGTACCAGGTGAACAATCTGTGTAAAGCATAGTCGATGTACATTAAACGGCACTGTTTTCGATTGCGGCTGTAAGCGTGAATTACTAACGTGTAAAAGGACTGTTTCATATAGATTGTCGGCGCATCTTCCAGGGCAACGCCAGCTGTGTTGACGATGTTCTGCAGGAGCATGTTGTAGTATTTCATAAAGTAATTCAGCTGGTAGTGGGTAATGCCGCTGAAGGTTTCGCGGGTCAAATTCAGATTGGCATTGTATGGCAGCCAGTCGGTGAAGTCGGCTTGACCGGGCAATGCGGAGGGCGGAGTGTAGATGACCGGCGCAGGCGTAGTCGTCGTCAGGATGGGGTTTTGCTTACCGGGGTCATGGTAAACGCGAGCGTTGAATGCTGCAAAACCCCGCACTGGTTTATACCCGTGGCCAGCAACGTTTCACTTCGTATAGTTAGTGAAACAGTAATGCCTATGTCATGAACGAGTACTTCTAAATTAAAAACGCTTTCTTCCACAGGAAATCTGTAGCACATCATGTCGGGATTCGGCCAAGCTCAAATACTATTGACAAGTGAGCAGGCAGCAGCGCATATTACATTTAGAAATTAAAAAGTTAATCATCTGCGTTAAAAAGTTAGCACCTGTACAAGTGCTGCAGGAGATCACTGCAGCGTTTAGGTTATCTCAAAATGCAGTATTCAATATTCAGTATCCAGGTTGCTTTAATTATACAGTACTTGAGGGGGCGCTATTTCCTGTTTGTCCGTGAATATCACCAAAACTTCGTACCAACAATTCCGGAACCGTTAGGGAAATGGCCCCAGTTGGGCTCGTTTTGGGGAATGAAATCAGCATCGTTGCCTTGCACCACCGCTTGCTTGACGGCCACATCAGGCTTCGGGCTGGTCAACAGTCCGTGACGTGCACCGAGGAAGTCTTCCTCATCCTGAGCACCCTCGTTGTCGGGTGTCAGCTGGGCGTAGGCGGCCACCAACACACACGTTAACAAATAATAACGAAGCATTGTGATAATGGTAACTGACCACAATCAGTTAAACCAGCTACGGAACGAACGATGGTAATACTAAACTTGTACAACCTTCTTTGCACAGGTTTATGTATTTTTTCTGCAGATATTATGGATTATCTTTTCTGAATCGGCGTGGCTTCGTTCGATTTAGGCGGTATAGAACGACAAATATTTGAGAGCACCTGTGGCGATAGGTGAAAACAATTCGGTTATTGGATCGATGGACCTCAAATTTATCAAGTTAATGCCATACTTTCGTCCATATACGTCTATAATGTTCGCCATTTAACGAAACTATCCATTACAAAATGTGTTTTCGCGGTTAACTGGGCTAATGTTTCGACCAGCGAACTGGCCACCGATCGCAATCGGCCTACAGCGATGTTAGCAAAATTGCTTCAGCACGTATCACTTCCCAGTCTTCTTAAAAGGTTGTTCCAAAGCCAAGTTAGAGTTTCAGTTTCGCGACAACGTACGTTTCGTGAATCGCGGGTAACTTTAACCAGCGTTCAAGAAAAAAGTCTGTGTATTGCCGAATCATGCGCAGCTTAACGTGCTTGCTCGTATTAGCCTCCTGCTTGGTCGGGGTATGGACAGCTCCTTATGAGTAAGTATCAAATTAACAGCTAGTTCATCATTTAATTAAATATTGGTTTTCGGAGGTACTTTACATATCAACTTATGCAATACGTCGAAGTAATTCGATCTTGAACCACAACTTTTTTGGCGCAATCGAATTTAAATATGTCAGCCAATCAATTAAGAATCATGTTGTACATATATGTGTTATGTTACTATTTTACAGTACATCTACTGGTGGATCCGGCGGATGTAAAACCAACACATGCGGCAAAAGGGCGAAAGCCGGCCCCGGAGGTCTGCCGCCCAGTGACAAGTCGAGGATCCCAGTGACTGCCACTCGTGGTGTAGCCAAGGATCAAATCAGTCAATGGAACGGCATGACATTGAAAACGCTGACTACCGCCATTACATGGTTGAATTCTTCCTACATAACATGTGCGAAGATGGTCGGACTGACTCCTGACCAGGGTCCCGCAATTGTCGTCGGCGGTAACGCAGTCAGGTGAGCGCTATACCACGATACTAAGTGTAACCTGCCACTTTTACATGTCAAAAACGCTGGTAAATCGATTCGTAATGTCCGTTCCAGATTTTACCAAGCTGACCCGCTCATCACAATCAACTTCAACATCAACGAAGTCACGTTTTACCAGCATAAATCGAGCTTCGCCACTACCGGCAACATCGGACGGTAATTATCGATAAGTTTGCACCAACAGAAAACAGAGCGTGCATAACTGCAGCCTGCACATACAAATTTAGCGAAAGGATCATGAATATTTTTTGTCCCTTTTTCTTGCTGATGTGAGGTTATTATATGGTAATTGGCCTCTATTTGTTCTATGATGTCAGATTGATTATTTTGCTATGTACTTTGCAGAAATATCGACCGTCTTATGCGTAAGTGAACACTAGAAAGCTAAGTTAGCAAGCATTCTACATGCTTGTATTAATATTGTTGTCGCCTTGGCGGTTTATTTAACAAGACGTTAATTTTCTTCAGAAAACCTCTGCAAGGATGACAAAGGTAAGCAAGTTATGACCACAGAGATGATGCATAAGCTAATCTCACAAGGAGTTTATCAAATCCTGTCGAAACGGAATTCGCACAGGGATTAGTGAAATAACGAATATTGTGGCTGACGTAGCTAATTATGGCGGCATCATTTGCAGATGGTTATGTAGCCGCAGTAGACTATCTTGGTCAACTTCATCACAAGTTCGCCATCGATCCCACAATTAAACAGAACACCGATTTGGGCTTGTTTCTTGTAAGTCTATTCACAGGAGGAGTACACGTATTTCATATAAATTATTTAGCATTTGACAATGACTGACCGCTGGCACGTTTGTTTTTCTGTTCTACAGAAAGATGCCGATGCGCACGTTCGAGCCATCGCTGCTTGCATTTCTCACGATCAGTGGACTAACGATATCTATGTGGCTATTATGCAGCCCCTTCGTTATATCCGTTGGTCGACATGGCATGCCGGCCAAGCATATTCGCTGCAGCGCAACTGCTTCCGTCGCGCTGACCCCAATGATGGTGCTCGTGTTAAGGATTAATTTTTTCTCTGTGGAATAAATGTGATTCAAGAACGAAGCTGTTCTTGAGTTACAGTCGTTGATCTGTACGAAAAATTCCAATTTCTACATGAATAAAGGAACACGACCATTACAGTGTACACAAAATTTCGTTGATTGCAGATATACTCCTTGTCAGCTCTGTATGGGCGTAAAAATCCTGTCGGTGTACATACAGTGTGCAGATACACCCTGCCTTCCTGCCCGAGCTAAATGTCGTAAATTGCTTTCTTATCAGGTCAATACGTCATCTATTTCAGTCTGCATTGATATGTAAAGACAAAATAAAATTTTTTAAGCATAGTCAGTTGCCAGTACTCAGGCTGCTCTGCTGGTGGAGGGTCGATTCACTTTAATTCTTGCTTATCCGTACGAGTATTTACCAATGCACAATATCTATGTATTGTATTCTATAATTATATTGCGTGAAATACTCGAACATTAAACAGACAAACTGAGTCTCTGTATACATAAACGTTTTACATATAGGAAATAGGAATGCAGGACTGCAGCTGCTGGCGAAACCTTTATTTAATTTTAAATACAAATATTCAAGTCGCCCAGAAATTTTACAAAACTACCATAAAGCAATGATAACCTTTTAGAACGTATCCGCCAGTTTGTTCTTAAACCAATAACGTCATAATATATAACTAGTGTCGCAAGTATGTGGAGCACAGTGTCAGCACTAATTAAAGTAGCGAACCCAAGTGTTAGAACAAAATGTAAGAAGTAATCAAAGCCGGATTCGAGAAAATACGTTCATGTTATCTTCACCCAAAAGATGCCTTCACAGTCAGAATGGGTGTTTTTTAAAGGCCATTACATAGTTTCGTAGACTTGTAAGTAGACCATGTTTCGTAGACCAAGCACGTCAAAAAACTGCTTCTCGTAGAACCGGGAAGTAACAATATATCCATGATAGATATTAAACTACACGAGCCAGATACCTTATGGAAAAGCGAGCCACTGGTTCCGGTAGCACTGGCGTTCGGCAAATCTGGAATACAGTACTTATTTAATACCTAACATTAATATGTGTAGGAGTATGACACTCATAGAATTATAATACAACAGTTCGTCTGTGCCTACCGTAGGTAGAACTGATCGATACTCGTACGTATTGTATCGGAACTACTACGAGCGAGTACGAGTAGTGCCAGCACGGCACTGTATCAACTTTTTCTCATGCTTGCTGTCAAATCTATTACAGATAATTAATAATGCCAGCACAATTACCATAAACAATAAATAAGTAATATCTGCCTCTTTTGTTCAGTCTTTTTTTATTAATATATAGGACTATCTGCCTTCTTTGGACGTCTTTGCGAATCCTGAGCGAATTACTTACTTAATTACCCGGCATGTACCGACAAATTTAAACCCATATATATTAAAACACGATAAAAAACTGCGACAAACATGTGGATGCTCATCGTCAACTTGATTATCGTGGCTTTCTTATGGACTCCTGTTTTACCGGCGCCTTCTGAGTAAGGAAAACTGTATTTATTGGTCGACCAGTCTGTTGATAGCGTAGACAAAGCTATTACAGGTAAGCTATGAAATCAGTTCGTAACGTATTTGCTGTGAATTTTATACTCCAGCTCAGAGCTTTTTTGTCATTGTTCATGTAATTAATATTTTAATATTAATTTTGCCAGTGTTTCTGAATGGTTATTATTGTATTTATAGTCCCCCCTCTTCGCCAAGATTATGCTCCATCCGTACGTGCAGTAAAAGGTCGCAGGCCGGTCCAGGTGCTCTGCCACCCAGTGATCCCTCTCGAATTCCCTTTACATCCACTCGTGGTGTCCCTAAGGAGCACATCAGCGCCTGGAGCGGCATGACACTGAAGACACTGAGTACCGCCATTAGATGGTTAAACTCGTCCTATGAAACATGTGCAAAGATTGTCGGACTGTCCGCCGACCAAGGGCCCGCAATTGTCGTCGGCGGGAATGCGGTGAGGTACAGTGCTTTATTGTGACATGACCAATTTGGTGTCCGAAATTATTTTAATTTTGTCCCCATTTATCGCAGGTTTTACCAGGCGGATCCTCTTATTACCATAAACTTCAACATTAACGAAGTCACTTTTTATCAACATAAATCCAGTTTTGCTACGACTGGCAATATTGGACGGTAAGGTTCTATAGCTGCAAACGGTACGAGTACTTACTCTTGTCAAACAAGCATGTGCTTTTGAGAGAATAAAAGTACATAAGGTCGTAACCAGTGCCATTCTCTTATTCTGGACGGCGTTCGCTATGTCAAGTGCCAAGCTGCCAAAACTTTTTGTAGATTATGTGGATAATTATTTATTTCTTGCAGGAACATTGATAGACTAATGCGTAAGTGAAAACGTTTTACTCTATCCGTTCAACTTATTCAAGTATATACCAAAGAGAGTTTGAAAATACTATACTTCGTGGAAATTAAAAGAATGTGTGCAAAAGTTTGAAAATACTATGTATTAATGTATATAATATTAGGAAATTAAGAACTTTGCTGCTTGCAGAAAACCTTTGCAGCGACGATAAAGGTAAGTAAAGCAATGATCTCGAAACGGTCCATTCAGGACTCCGAACTCATAAGCAAGATTTTAACTCTAAGCCGGTTCAGTCAATCGACTTAATTCTAAAAATTTTGGTCTGTTTTGTAGCAGATTAACAGTGACGTAACGTTGCAAAATCATCGAAAATCTGTATACACTGTAGATGGATACGTAGCGGCAGTTGACTATCTCGGGCAACTGCACCACAAATTCGCCATCGATCCTACCATTAAGCAAAATAGTGACCTCGGGCTGTTTTTGGTAACGTCGATATACTTCGTTGTTTATGCACTTTGAGAAAAAGTTGCAATTACACTGCATCCATTTACAATTTTTTTGTGAAAACTGCAGAAAGATGCGGATGCGCACATTCGCGCCATCGCTGCTTGTATTTCTCACCATCAGTGGACTAACGACATCTACGTGGCCATTATGCAGCCCCTTCGCTATATTCGGTGGTCAACATGGCATGCGGGTCAAGCATACTCGTTGCAACGCAACTGCTTCCGACGTGCAGATCCAGACGATGGTGCTCGTGTAAAAAATTAATATCGGAATGCCACGAATTTGTCACGTCATTTGAATTTCGTACAATTCTTATAGTGGTTTAATATGGGGATAGTGGATACCCAGACGGCAGCGTGTAGGCATTCAGCTTTTAGTATTTCTCTTTTCGCTCAAAAATGTCAAATATGCTATTAGGAAACCGAAAGTCCAGTTCATTTTTGATGGACATCTTTCGTTTTAGATGCACCTACTTTTTAAAAAGTAAGACAAAGAACGTTCGGTGGCAACGCTTGCATGGTGACAGAGAACCGCTGCTGGGTATTCACAGTTGTTAACAACATCATATGTGGACAAAAAAATTGCCGTCCCATTAGTACTTACTACTTTCTCGTTACAGGTTAACGAAATCGGAATTAATTTTGTGTCATCAGAAAAAAATCGCAATAGGACTGAACATATCGAGCTCACCGCAAAGTAAACCGAAATAATACTGCAACTATTTATTCAATGGTTGCACAGTTACCTATTTCTATGCATCCTTATCTTTATATTATTAAAAACGTATTTATGTGCCGTTTTTAACTCCTCGATAACGCGTGGTCAGTTTAAGTCCAGCTTGGTCTTAAAAAATTCCATATTTCCCATAGGTGTGCCAATAGATTTTTGTTTGTTTGTAATAACCAGTGGTCAGAAGATGGTTTCACCAGGTCTTAAGTATAGGAAACGTAAAGAGCACTCGGAAAAGTATTCACTGCACAGCAATAAAATGTTTTAAAACATAATGACTGTAACCACGGAGACTATAGCGGATGCATAAATAGGCAAATGCACTACTGCGTGCATTGGTACACCGGAGCGCAGCTTTATGACCGTCAAGAAGTCATAAAGTAAGAACATCAGCACGTTAGAACGTCATAAAGTGAGAACATCAGAACGTTATAAGGTTAGAACGTCAGAACGTTAGAACGTCAGAACGTTAGAACGTCAGAAGATCAGAACGTTATAAGGTTAGAACGTCAGAATGTCAAACCGTCATAAAGTAAGAACATTAGAACGTTAGAACGTCAGAACTTCAGAACGTGAAAAATTAAAATTGTCAGAACGTCAGAAATTCCGAACGTCAGCCTTTATATATTTATAATGACCTTTCCAAAACAAAGCCACTACTATCCAGTACTTAAGTGCCGAGCTCGGATGCGCGAGGCTACCTTGTTTTAATTTATGACTACAATGCCATACGATATAAGCAACAACAGCAGCATAAGAATAGACCGATGAAATGAATCCAAAATTGTATAAACACCTTGCAGAAATGGAATCACTCTATTCGTTTTACCATGTGACTATGTACAACCGAGAAAAAAATTAAAGACAAAGAATCAGATAAACAAAAACCCAAAATTTTAGTTACTTATTTTCTCTCGTTCTTTCGGACGAAATCCCTGACCGTGTGCTTTCTGTTCTTTCTCCTCCTCCATTTGATCGTCTCTCTTCCGCACCACATACTGTGGTTTCTTCCTTCCCGTCACCACTTCTTCATCGATATGCACTGCACCGATTGAACTACCAGGTGTATCATACATCGGGTCCAATAAAATAAACTCAAGAATCGAACGCAGTCCCCGGGCCCCGGTACGACGGGATAAAGCCTTGCTGGCGATGGCTTTCAAAGCTTCTTGCTGAAAATGCAGCTCCACCTGTAAAATCGTTTTATTGATAGGCTTATGCAAAAAATGGTTCCAAAATAAACTAATAATGAGTACTTTACATACCTTATCATAGCCGAACAAAGTTTGGTACTGAGGTACAAGCGCATTGCGAGGTTCGGTAAGGATCTGCATTAGCATTTCAACGGTTAAATTATGAAACGGAACAACCACCGGGAGCCGACCGACAAATTCCGGTATGAGGCCAAAGTCTATTAAATCTCTAGCTTCCACGTCGCGTAATAAAGCATCTTTCTCCTGATTGTCTTCTACTACGTTGCCTGTTCCTTCGCGCTGGCTATCAAGGGCAGCCGCACGCCTGCCCTTGGATTCCGTCGGTAGTGCACCGAAGCCCAGGTACTACAATTCAAAGAAGCATAATAATTCAGAAATTCGAAGAAGCAAGTCAAAGAAAGCCACCTCACTTTTTCGTTCTTCCGCCTACTCACAATCCTATCCAAACCATTAAACGCACCCGACCCAATAAATAAAATATTAGTGGTATCCACAGGCACTGTATCACCCCGCATTTTGCGACTACTGTTCCGTTCAGGAACATTCACGATAGATCCTTCCAAAATTTTCAACAGACCCTACGAACAGATGCGGAATTAGAAGAATACCCGAAATATTGCAGGTGCTGTTCAAACACCCGGTCCGTAGTCCGTAATAGCGCAATGCAGACTGCCAGAGCATATCGACCAGAAGTGTCAACAGAGCTGATAAATTTTCCAAAATATACCGGGCATATTTCAGGAAAATATTCTTGTACATATTATACAATGGCTAAAGGTTAGATAACTACTATGTCAACTGGAGTAAACAAGTATTTGCGAACCTGCTGAACGCCTTCTCCACCAACATCTCGCAGCTGATGCACACCGGGTACCGCTCCGATTTTATCAATCTCATCCAGAAAGACAATGCCCTGTTCGGCTTTGGCCACATTACCTCCAGCATCCTGAAGGAGTTTGGCAATCACTGATTCGATATCTTCACCGACATAACCGGCCTGTGTCAAGGTGGTGCAGTCGCAAATAGCAATCGGTACATCCAGACACTTGGCGATGGTCTGCGCGAGAAGGGTCTTACCCGAACCGGTCGGACCCACCATTAAAATATTCGATTTATCCAGCTTGATATCATATACATCGGATTCTATGACGTCGTTGATACTGTTAGGCTTGCTCGAGGCTCGCGGACTTTCGTCCGTTTGCTGCAGATGGGCACCCAACGGACTACCAGGATGAATTCCGGCAATGTGCAGGAGATCTACAACATTTCATCCACCGTTCAAAAAGCATACGCACAACATGAAATATCACTGTGCTCAAAAGTCATATCATGCCTGCAGACCTATGCCATGAAAAGGAGATTAAATGGCAAAAAACGTTAACTGCTCTGCCTGGCGTCAATAAAAGCTGATGTAATCCACACGAAGTTTACTATTTACTGCCATGTTCTGATGTGTGCAATATGACTATGCAACAAAACTTAAAGAAATACAAGCCACACAAAGTGCACAGCCAATAAAGATGTAAGTACTGGTAAGTACTTCCCTTAACTATTATGATAGTTGCAGTTATTTCCTTATAGTAAACGAGCAAAACGTTAAATAAGTTTTTTTGCTAAAGCTAAAAATGAATTATGACTTAAAGCTCGATCTTACGTGAAAGTATAATACCTCTGTGTGTCAGAGCATTAACGGATCGGCTTTCCATTTGGGCAATGTGGGCCTCCTGTGCCCTGACGGCTTGATTGGCATTCGGGAGATTTTTACTTAATCTTTTGTAATGGTTGTACACAGCAACCGCTAACACTTTCTTGGCGTGATCTTGCCCGACCACGTATTTATCGAGAAAATCGAAGATCTACATGGCGAAAAAGGAAATCATACAGTCACCGCTTAACTGTGCAGGCGAATGCGAAGCAAACAACGTATAATTATTATTATAGCCTCGTGCGTATGTTTACTATGTTACTGGCAACGAAATGTACAACTTCTTACTTTCTTAGGGACAGGCGGGGGCTTCCTTTTCGCGCTACGCTCAGATCCGGAATCCTTAAAAGACTTCGTATCCATTTCACTCAGGACAACGAAAAAATGGTGGCAATTCTCGCACTTGACGAATCTAGTCGACGCTGCAAACGAAACAAACACAGATGTCAAATAAACTCCACATGGTAACTTTATTGGATTAAACGGCGAAAATCACAAACACTCAAGTTGAAATATACAAGACAAAGTACAGTACATTATCGCAAAAAGAAGACGCAGATGTTAGTACAGTTTAGTAAAGTACTGCAGTACTGGCTAGTTTGTACAGTGACGAACTTACAAACGAAAGTCTCGACATGAATGCATGTTTCTCCGCATTTGGGGCATTTTAGTAGATCCTTATCTCCGTTGTCGCCCCCATTCGATCCCGATGACGCAGCCCCACTCGTCGAACGAGCTGATCGCTTCTCCCCCATTAACTTACGATCCTTGGTGCCATCAACACCTCCCTCACCGGACGACTTGCTGGAGTACAATACTGACGCAGCGCAATGGGAGAAATGCGAGGGCCACACGAGGACGACGGTGCGCGGATGTTCCGTGGACAGGCACGCACTGCGCCACGTATTAATCTGTTTCAAACTCAGCGCCACATCCCGAGCGCGCAAGAAGCTTGCGGTAACATGGCGTAGCGCCATGCTGCTTCGACAGTTCAGCGAATCCACCAGATGAAGGAATGCGGAGACGTCACCATATGGTTTTTATTGCTAATCAAAAAGAAAGAATTAAATACGACAGAACCCGTGGCAAAAGACACATTTACTGTGCAGCTCTGATGGTCCCAAGTCTCCAGGAATATTCCTACCTGGATGAAATCGATTTCGAACGCAGAGGCAGACCGTGTTGCTGAGCAGCTGATTATGACAGGGAATCAGATGGGAACGAAATTCCGTTGCAACACCGTACAACTTTCTGAAGACTTCAGGGATATAAATGGATTTACAAATGAAGAAAGATGGCGAAACTGTATATAAAATGAAGCGACAACTTTTAAAACACTGAATTGCTATCTAATATTTTAACAATAAAAAAGAAAATTAAAAAAATCAACAAACTGCCACAAATGCAGTTTTGTAACAATCGTCCCGCACGTAAACAAAATCATCCAAAAATGCGCATGACTTTGAATGCGCCAGCGTACGTAGAGTACGTCCGAGAGCAATCTTCACGTAGCAGCAGCCTAGCGAGCCGTGTTTGTTACGCAAAGTCGTTTCCGGGACGATCTTGAGTCACAGTATTCCACACACGGAAATTGAATGAAATTTTTCATTGGTTTATTTTTGCGTTGAAACCAATGAAATTTGCCATAATTCCCCAAATTAATTTGGGACTGGTCAAAGTAATTTGACTCATAACGTGCAGTTCGATTCACTATAATCGGTCGCTGACATTTGGAAGCACACTTGAAAAATTTGTTGATGATCCATTATCAGTGTATCTTCTCCAATAATTTTTCATTTTGTTTCATCTGACAACTCTCTTTTTCATCTGCGTTTAATTTATTATATTGTGATTCGATTACTGTGTGTGGACGCATACATTGGGAACGTGACTAGATCTTCCCGGAGTCTGGTGGAGCAGTCCCAGACAAGAGCTTCGAAACGGTGTTAATCCCAGATTCAGTCCAGGTTCTGGTTCCTGTGACTTGTGGTAAACGAAAAGTTGTGTACGATCTACAGCGTTTTCGAGACTACATCTACAGTAAGTTGTGCAAGGAATTTTCAAAGTAGACATTTTTAGAATGTATATGATATTTAATTATTTGAACGTTGGTTTCAAACTTTCACGTCTGGGAAATGATCAAGGTCCTTGGCCGTTCGTTTGCGCATGTTGTCAAATGGCCTTGGCCCCTGAGTCTCCATACTTTAGTTGGCTAGGGCGTAATATGTTTTGATTTTCTCTGTTAAGTTGTCACAACATCGATTTTATATGATCTGCGCATGTGTTGGACCTGTAAAATTAGAATTATCAGATTTGGTGTTGGTATACGTGTGGTTAAACACGAAATTTTATGATGATTTGAAGTTACTGTAGTTGAATAACAATAGCGCAGTACGCGGTTGCGACCAGTATTTTGTTGTCCTGTTCTCATGTTGCAGGTGGATTCTAAGATTGGTTGCGGTAAAGTTTCTCTCTGTTTGAATTATGTCTCGTGTTTTTACCCGCGGAGGAGGACGCGGTGGCAGTGGTAGTGGAGCGAGTGGCGGCAGTGCCAATCCTGTTAATACCAATAATAATTCGTCTGGGCCTGGTCGTTCTCGAGGATCTACTGCTGCCACTGGTAAGTTTCGCGATTTCTCATATCTGGTTTGGTGTTAGCTGGAAACCCTTGTAGACACTGTGCGTCTTGCAGCGTCTGGAGTGCAACGCGAATGGAAAGACGATATTGGCGATATCAAGGAGACTGAGAATCGCAACACTAATATCTCATCTGTCAATTCTAACTATTCTCCCAATCCACCATCTCAGTCGCATCCGCAAAATCAGCCATCCGGTGGACAGAATTTCAACCAGAATCAGCAGCACCATCAGGGTGGTCAACAGCAGCGCCAGCAACCGCGTCAGCAGCAGCAGTTGTATCAAGCGAAACCACGCGGTAATTCGGAAAAGAGTCGCGGCGGTTCGTCGGGTGAGTTTGGCGCGTTCCAACATCAGCCCCAGCAGCATGGGGGGCAGAATCGGGAACGCGAAGGAGGTCGTGGCGGCGGCAAGCACGGACACAGTGCTCCGAGGGACCACGGACGCGGGAAGCGCGATGGCGGAAATCGGGGTAATAATCCCCGAAACGATGGAGGCTCGTCCGCTGGTTAGTAGCGACTGCTTCATTTCTGTGAAATGTTTGCAGCGTTGTAATTTGTTAGGTATGGCGGGTGAACAACAGCAGAGTCAGCGCGGATTTGATCAGCACTCATCACGGGAGACGTCCAGCATCGATACCACCGAAAATGATGAGAACGTTATGCATATGCCGCGAAACATGATGAACGATGATATGCGCGATACTCATCAGCCACATTTTGGCAACAAGGGTAACCAGGGCATGCCTAATCAGGGCCGTCGCGAGCATAAGAACGATGCGATGCGCAGCGATAAACGCGATCGTGAACGGGAAGAACCCTTGCCGAAGAATCGTGGTGGCGAGCCGAATCGACAAGGCATGAATATACATCAAAACGCATTCAGTGAGCCGCCGTTCGGGAAGTCGTCGCTCGACGATGAGCGAGACAATGACAGTTTGACTGGATTTGGGTCGTTTAAAAACGGGCCGATTGGTGTCGGGCGCATGCTGCCGCCCCATGGGCATGTTTTTGATGATTCAATGAACATGTATTCAACTAATAAACGTTATTTTCCCATTGGCGATATGGGTCATTCCGATAAAGGAATGGGTGAGCGGTTTGAGCAGTCATCGCATGATGGCGGGGATATTTTCTCTGGGAAAGACGTCTTCTGGCGTGGACCGGAACGGGAGGAAAAGCGTGATGTGTTCTTAAGGTAATGATTGATTTTGGTTCAGGGAGTTGCATATGTAACCAATTATCGATCGATTATCAGGGAGGACTCATCGCCTACCGGTCTGGGCGGGAAATCGATGATCTGGTCCAGTCAAACGGCCGGCACTCCCATCCCACATCCTCAGTCCGAATCACCGCATTTCCCACGCCCACTGGGCTTTGGTATGGATCATTCAGCGTTCGCAACCAGTTTGCTTACCGGCACATCACCGTCGATGATGGAGCCGCAACACATGGATGCAGTTGGAATGCATCATCAGCATCGTCTCATGCAGCAGCACCTGCCGATTAATCAGTTCCTAGGAGGTAACGAACGTATGCACGACCGTATCCCTGCCATGTTTGGCCAGCCACCTCCGGTCCCGCAGATGATGGGCCCGATTCGAATGGGCTTCCATCATCCACAGTTCGCAGAACCGTTTATGTCGACAGCGATGGGCCGTGAGCCGCCAGTGGCCGGTCGTGGAGTGTTGCCGGTTAATCCGCAGCAGGCACAGGTGACACCGCAAGGTGGGCAACCAGGTGGAGGGTTTGCTGTCGCCCCGGGAGTGGCAGCCGCGTTGAATATGGGAGCTTCACCTTCGCCACGATCGCCTCATGCTGGTAATCAGGAGAAGAACTGGAACTGGGAAGAACAACAAAGCACGGAAGCTCGGGAAGCCACGCCACCAGCGCCAGTTAAGGAGCCTGAAGAGGATTTTGGGTAAGTGACGCAGTACTTTTTATTATATTTTGTTAATGGAGTAAATTAAGAAAATTTTAAAGTGAATACATCATAACGTCAGGGGTGGGATGTAAAATAAGATTTGCAACAGACCAAGCGATTTCTTGGATGCTTCCCACTTAACCTTTGGTTTTATGCCCAGAGCCAATCGATCCCAGTGCAATGTTGGGTGTTCTGTTTTTTCCAAAATTGTAATTGGCCTCGTAGTTATTGTAAATGTAAATTGTAATTGGTTGTTGCTATAAATTTTTTACTAGAAACTGTTTGCACCAGAACACATGGATCTAAATATGATTTTCGGTTAAATGCTGCAGTACGTATTTGGGCTATTCTGTGCCGTAGAGCGTAGTTGTTTGGGACGAAACGAGTAAGTATGTGCGTGATTTGGTACTCTTTCTTTTGAAATCCTATCTGTTTTTCAAATGTCATTGACGTACTTGCTAGTAGGAGTGTTACCGGATTCTACGTCGACGGTTATCACTTTCATTAATGTAACAGTTACGTCTTCCGGCCACAACGCTGCGCGACCGTATCGCGAAAATCAATACCTGTCTATAGCAATTAATGCGTGTTCTCTTAGAACTTAAGAGGAGGTATAAGGCACATCGAGATATTCTGTCGGTCAAGTCAAGAATATCGGCCAGATAGTGTTCTCTGCATTGGGATATGGATGTTGGTTTTTGTGTTAGGGAATTCAAATGTCCGGTTCTGCGAGGACCAAAGAATTTCGACAGTTTGTGTGCACAAGTCGAAGAACTGAGGACAGCAATACAGGAACATTTGAAACAGCTCGTCCTGAATCCTCACCGGGAACGATTGCGCCGTGTAATGATTTTATGGTACGTGTGTTGACTGGGGTTAGAATGCTGCTGTCTGTTTTAAATCGTTTTTTTTTCTAGCTTTACATTATGGAACGCGATTCGGGATGCCATCTTGTTGGACAATATCCAAGCGTGTGATAAATCTAGAGAATTGGATCAGGTAGTGTGGCGGGAAGGCTTTTATCCGGTGTTGGACTTACTGCGTGGATTGCTGGCCAAGCCGACACCGAAACATGATGCGGTGGGCGTTAATGAAGCCATCAAAGTGTTCCTGCAAAAGGTGGGTTGGAGGTCAGAAGTGGAAGTTTATTCGGAAGTGAAGGTGACATGCTGTCTGTTAGGCACTGAAATTCTACACGGATTTGATTCCCAAAGTTCTGCATCCATTTGGTGGGTCTGTAACGGCGCAGACGCTTGTTAATGCGCTGACGTCTAAGGCACCAATGGCGGATCACATCGTCATAAGTTTACAGCTGGCGGAACGACTCCTTACTCATTTGGGTGATTTGTATCGCTATCAGGCCGAATTGCCGGGATCTGATGGATCCGAACTGAATCTGGCTAAGGAGTAAGTGAATATTTGTCGAATTTCATTAGTGTAATCGCGAGTGTTACCGTCAGTGAATTGATCATCTCACCATCAGAAATAAGTGGGTTGTGACTGTTGTAAAGGAGCGCAGTGGTTCATGGGTCTTCCCTTACGATCTTACTCAGATGTCAAAACGTTCTCTGTTGTTTCTGTAAGTAGTGTCTGTATGTTATTTTCAATGCGTAAATGAACGAGGAGGTATGGTTTCAGAGTAGGGATTTGCGATATCGCTGCTTTTCATCTTGCTACAAATTGACTGCCGTGATGGCCATTGGTTTTCACCGCTTTAGTTCTGTTTGTTTTCTTGTACTAAACGGTGGTATTCGCATTCTGGTATCTTCGGTACATTAGTAATACTTAACGATTTTCTGTTTTCTCACATTGTTTTCGACATAAGTGTCAGCATCAAACTTTTTTAGGGCAGTTGTTTTTATTTGTTCTAGCTATTCGATATTTGAGTTTAAGTGTTGTCGTATATGTGGGAATAGTACCGCTTTATTCGTGAATCGTAGCTCGACAAAACAGCAACTGATTTTGCTGACACTGTTTGTCAGCAACAATACGGACAGCGTCGCTAGGGACAAGCGCGCGTCCTTTGTACAAGGTCGAGGCATATCTCACAAGTGTAAATGGCATTTGCTTGTACAAGTTTAAAATAAAGCTACCATACGCTTTTTAGGGCATACCATAAGGCTTGCCTGTTAAGTCCTTTTAATGGACAGCCACATAGCCAGCTGGCGTTGGTTGCCAAACGACAGAATCGTCCACTGGACATCGCTTTCCATTCAATTAGAGCTATTTCTGCTCGTTTGCCCTGTAATCTTGCACAGTCACATCTAAATGCTTTATGGTCATCAGTTGAGAAAACGGTGAGAATTGCTGTTTAAAGCCAATCCGCTCTACAATTTTGCTTTGCTATAAGTAATATATGTTGCAGTATGAGAATAAATATAAAAATGAAGAGAAAATTCCCTTATGGAGCGACTTACCACATTCTGAGGTAAATGATATTTTCCTACCACTCTCGTGATAGTAGCGGTCACTTACGCATATTAATTTTTTCATAGTTATCTAAGCGATTTCACTTAACATTCCTGGCTATCCATGCATCGCTCCATCATAACAAATTTGTCAGGTACGGGTACTGAATATATCTATATATATATGGTCTCAGTCGTGCTTGTACCATGTATCCAGTGCTACCTGTACATTGTATTGTACAGCCTGTACTGATATTATTACTGTTTCCGTGATCTTATCAGTCTTGTTTGATTAATTCGTTTAGTGCGGTTCTGAACTCCCAAGGCACACAGTTCTTAGGCATGTTGGATGCGGTGTTAAATCATCCTCTGGCTCTGGGATTCCGCGACATTCTTTTACAAATGATGGCCATAAACATCTACCGCATTTCAGTGCTGCAGACCGACAGTAAGAGGTTTTTGTTTTGATAATATAAAATGTTTCAGAATTGCAGTAGATTGAAGTTCATTGAACATTAGGGTTTTTGCAAGGATGGATGTATTTACGGTCATAAAATACGTATATAGTATTATGTTTTATATTTATATCATACTTAACAAAACACGTGATAAAGTTTGTACTTATTCCCGGGTTTTAGGCCACCATTACGCGTTTCTTATGGACTTGTCTTTCAACATGTTTGACATCATCCTGGCGCGTTTGCTGAAGATTTTTGAGGCAGCCCCCGATCTGGATTCCGCAGCCCATCTCGAAGATACCACGATTTTTTCACCCGTTGTAAAAGTGTTTGTAGACTGGATGCAAACATCTTACCAGAAATGGTTTCCCTTGCCACCATCACAACTCAGTGCGCCGCGAGAGTAAGTCTAACATTTTTGTTGAACTGGATTTTTTTATTTTGACCTGCAACTGCGCTTCGCCTTCTTTCTAGTACAAAACGAACGAGTATGTGGTCACGAATCGTATCGTTGGTGAATTTGTCGTTAACTTTGAATGTGGCCGGGGTGGCCGAGGAACGCTTCCCAGGTAGGTGAAGCAGTTCGATGGGATGATTTGCGTTGAAACGGTTGTGAGTAGAACTGATTAAATTTTGTTTGGCTGAATGAAATAAGCAGCTGAGAATCAAGGTGTTGAAGTTACTTGATGGCTGATAGCAACAACAAGGTCAAAAGATGCGTGTAAAGAAGGAGAGTGCACATCAGCGGTAGGTATAAAAGTATTGTTGCTACTTTGCAGATAGTACACCCGAAAAGCTATACGAAGATTTGTATCTGAACGGTATGCAACACGTGCATCCCACACTGTGTATTTTCTACCGGGAATCGAAATTGCATGAGGTAATTAATTACCTGCTCACGGTTGGCGTGCATTCAGTAGAATTTGCAACATGTTATTGACAGGCTATAGCGGAACCGCGTTTCCGTTTCCGGAAAATGCAGTCCGTTGGCCCAGTTCTGTTGTCCGTCTCGCCGCCTGTGGCACGCCTGCAGTGGAATCGTTTCTTGCCGACTGATGCCTATCTGGATAAGAATATTAAAGTCTTGTGGGCTCCGCTGGAACCGCCGCCGGTTCAGCGCGTCGAGCCGCTTCCCACTTTGGAATCTCGCCCACCGGCACCGATGCCCGTGCAGCCCATGCCAATTCTTCCCTTGCCTACCGAACGTACCGAGGTTGTACGTCAATGGCGTCCCACGCAAGCGCCTGTCAGCGATGCTACGGAACAGAATTGGCCCACACTGGGGCAGGCGACGCGAATAACGTCAGATGATCGTCGAGATCGGGTAAGGTGATGCGGCATCCACGCTTATTGATTGTTAAGTGTTTCTGTTGAATTAGACATATTCGTACGTTTGGATTCTTTCTTGACAGTTTTTGTGATAGCATAGCAGGGTTTCTTTTTTGTTTTATGGGTATGTTATTAATTATTATTTTATTTTTCGAACAATGGATTCCGTTCGTTTGGATTCATTAAACCGATATCTTAACTCACTTACATCTGGTCGTTATTATTCATTTGTCATTAGTGTGCTTTTATTTTGATTTCGCTTTTGTATCGTCTTTTTGCAAGGATCATTTTGATGTTGCTGGGATTAATGATTGTATGTAAATGGCCATGTAGTCCGCATTTCGCAGTTTTTACGTTGCAGGCTCGCACTTCCTCGATGAACTCTGGTGATGATAACCGCGGTCCTCGGAATGGTGAAACAGGCGGCAGCACCATGGAAAATACGCGAAGCAATGTGGAGCCATGGTGGTTGATTGATAAACGTCTGCGCAATACCGACTCCAGCAATCAGCTGAAGCTGAATGGAATGGAGCCGACTGACCGACGAGGTCCCATGCGGATGGAAGAGGCGTCGAAACAATTCTATCTAATTGATACCAATTGTTTGATTGATGCGTTGGAACGTATCGAGAAAAAGCTGCTGGAAAACGATGACTTAGTCATTCTTATCCCAGCCACAGGTGGAGTTAGCGCATACCACTGTTTTTATTTAGCAGTTTTTTTAAATAACTGTCAGTCCTATTGCAAAATTTCGCAGCTGGCGAAATAGAAAAAAATTTTCAGGTGATTGTAACTATTTGTACATAATAATTTCTACCTAATAGTTGTTACACTTGGTTTAGCTTTAATATATTACGAGTACATACTACAATAGTGGTCCGACTTTGCATTGGCAGTAATCGGTGTTTACATTTTTAGTTTATCGTGAACTATGTAAATTACACGAACGGAAAAATGCCAAAGCTTGGAATGCTTTGAGTTTCATTAATGATGCAATGGAACATTCGAAAAACCGAATTATGGTCATCACCGCCAAGGCCGACCAGATCCCGTCAGCTCAATTGGCGCGACGTGAAATCGTTTCGGAAAGGGTAAGAATGTTTTTTTAGTGACCGTTGCAGATATATGAATAAATTGACTTTTGACACCGCATCTTTTCAGGGAAGCAACGACGATATTATTTTGCGGACGTGCATTACCCTGTCAGAAAAAGGACTCTTCAATGAAGATGATCGGGATCGCCGAATGTGTAAGTGTAACGTACATCGATAGCATACAGACAGCGATTAAGACAGTTAAACCTGCCTGTTTATACGAAAAGTGCGCACTTACTGTTGAAAATATTAAATTTTACGCTATCTATGTAAAAGTTATTATTGTAGCATCTTGATTAAAGTCTGATTAAAGTGTTGTATGTCTCGTTAGATTCCGGCGATGGCACGTGGCGCGGCAGTTTAACACTGTTAACATCGGATGTAAATATGCGTGTGAAGGCGCGTAAGGAGAACATTTGTTGTCGTCTGGTACCGGATGTTTTGGGCAACTGATGTCCATCCTCCAGAGGCACGTTCACATGTTTTGTCTCCGACTCATAACTCTCATCATATGGCTTGACGAACCCATTTTCCCGGAACCTGGAAACTGTTCACGTTCCACCGTATGCGAATAAATGGTGGATCCTCACACACAGACAACACTAATTTCCTATCATTTCTTTTTACTTCAAGAGAGGCATTGGTCGTTTTTTCCTTGATTATTGATTGGTTTGGTTGGACTTTGTAACATTATCTTAGACTGCAATTTTTGCATGAAAACGGTAAGATAACGGATCGGCGTTGTTTTATCCATATCCTCTCAAAGATGTGGAGATTCGGTGGAAATAGTTATGGATGGACCGAGGGGATGCTTGTAGTTGGTTGGATTTGGTTTTACTGACTAACTGAAGTTATTCTCCTTGCGTTGACTTTTACTTATCACTTTGCTGCTTGCTGGACTCTTTTTGAAGTATGGGAAAAGCTTAGCGTGATGCTTTCCCGCAGTGGAACCATTTCTCCCTCTCGATGGCTTGTCCGTTGTAAGCTGGGTCACTGCATGAAGTGCTCGCCAACTTATGTTTTCCTTTGGTAGAATCTGGTTGTTTGTTATAAATGACGCTGTGGAGATCATGTAAAAAACCGAATCATTTACAACAGTGTTTTCGGATTATGACCTTAACAGACCGTTTAGACTAACATTTTCTGGCTACTAGAAACGAAAGAATTTTTGGGTCGAGTAATATGAATGTAATTGTTCGTTTTTTTTCGAATTTTTAGGACGTGAAGCAATACTGTAACTGGTTTGCAGTAAGTATGTACTCAGTGTGCTGTGCTGCTGCTGCATGTTCTAAACCCTAAGTAGGTTTTTCGCCTTTTTTGACTCCTGCGAAGTACGGGTAAGTTTAAATAAGTGGTTATCTACACTCTACAGTGTGATACTTCGTGGTAGCGGGTCTGACTTTAACGAGAAGTTCACTTTCTTATGAACCAATTAATAATTTAAATTCGTAGAAACTGATTGAAGAGACAGCACGTACATACTTGAGCACAGCACGTACAGTACTTACAAATTTTTTTATCATGGCAGGGGTTTTGTTTCGAGCATAAAACGTTGTTGTTGTTGTTGTTGCATACAGTAAACATACAGCGTAGTCCTTTCAAGGACCATTGCTCCAACAAATATAAAGTTATTAGAATTGCCAAGGTGACAGAGTAAGCATATGACAGTAAAAAACTAGTCGCTTAACATTGGATCACCGAAATCTGTTTGAGAACTCCAAAACTTTAGAAAGCATAAAACGTTAAAAACCATTTTACGCTACCCTTGGCAACCATTATTCATTGTTGCGTTGTGAAGCTTTTGGAAGGAAGAAAACCTGAGGCCAGAAGTAAGTACGCTGATACGCAACAAGAACGCAAATTCAATTTGAAAGTAAAGAATATTCATTCACAAATATTGTTCGTCTGAAATCGAATGGAGTCTCTCGCATTTTGAAGCAGTGGCCAGTGGCTAACGCCGCCAAAAGTCTGTAGAAGTTTGCACTGCTGTCAAACATTGCACCCCATCAGAGTAATACATCAACTCTGCTCACCGCTCAATATGGGACTGCCATTGTCATGATCTGGCATCTCTTGATGGACCGTTAAACCCGTCAAGGCTTCATTACCGTACTACTTGCTAAAGTGAACTACAGTATTCCGGCTGAAGCATGTTGGCAGATGCACCCATTTTTGGGCATTTAATATCCTTTGATTTGAATTTTCGCCATTTTCTTCGGTTTTGAACTCCCTATCAACCGCTTTTGGATTTACGGTAAGATTACAATTTTAGTAAGATACAGAAGTCACTGAGAAGTGTATGGATCTCAGCAATATTAGTCTTGCGTAATGCAGTACTTAATGCTCGATCCAGGTCAGACTTGTTCCAGCTGCTGCCTGGTAGTACTGTAGCCGCTAGATGAAGTGGCTCCACAGAGTCTGGTGTACGAGAAAAGGCACTACGTATATACATACGCTGAATTGAATAAAAAAATTGAATTTTTGCTGCATTTTTGATTTTAATTCATTTTAACGGGTTTTTACACCAAAATTGTGAACCTGAGCTTGGTTTTATAGTGAATAATTGCATTTCGGCTGTGGATAGCATTTAAATCAGAGCTCTAATTTGTCGTAATGGGCCGAAAGCAGCGTGGTTATACAGAGGAACAGATTCGTGCATTTCTGATCGGTTTTGCTGCCGCTGATGTGAGCGCACGGAGTTACGCAAATAACATCGGAGTTCCATGGAGAACTTTCACGCGCTGGAAAAGGTACAGCTAGATTTTTAATTAATTATCTTCTTGCGTTTTCTTGGAAGCAGCCAGTCTACCTGCAGCAGGTTGAGGAAGAACGAGCCTCTTCGAAAGCAGAAACACAAGCGAAAGCCGGAGCACTCAGGCATAGAGGACGCCGTGTACGAATTTCTCCTGGCCGAGCGGAAGAAGGGTCTTATTGTGACACGTCTGGAGCTGAAAAAAGAGCGCTGGAGTTAGCCCAGGCGAAAGGAGCTCCTACCTTCAAGGCTTCAGACTGTTGGCTTACTTGCTTTTAAAGAGAAAATGCCTGCGATATCGTGTCCCAACTCGACATGCTCGCAAGTCTGAATTCACAGAGGAAGATCTGGTAAGTTGAATTTTTTAACATTATAAATCAGAGCTCTGACCATTTTTTTAAAAAAACAGGAAGAAGAGCTAGAGTATTTTCTCCGCTTACACAATTCCATCGTTCTGGATGAAATTTTCGCTGACCGCGTATTCAATTTCGATCAGACGATGATTCGCCTTGTAGCGCCGAAACCGAAAACACTTTCTCCCATTGGAGTGAAAGAAGTAATTCTATAGCTTTTAATCAATTTATAACAAACATTTATAACAAAAGATATGAGAATTATGAGAGCTCTGATATTTTATTAATTTTATGAATCTGGTTTGTTGTGGTTTTGGGGTGCCCTGGCAACCAGCGGGGGTTCCTCTGGAAAGCTGACTGTGGACGGCTTTGTAGGTTACTGTTAAACAGCCTCCTGGCGAAAAAGAAGGAATAACTGTGTGGTCTGTGTCTCACGATCCGTGCGGATGGTGGAAAATATCCTGCTGTAGTGGTGCTAAAGGCAGAATGGGAAGCTGTCAGAAGGGATAATGAACAAGCTGAAAGTTCCTCCTAATATTTTTGTTGAGAGCTCTTATTCTACTTGGTGGACGGAGCAGATGGATCTGGACTGGATAAAGTATACATTTCCAGAAGAAAAGCAGAAGCGTGTTTTAATTCGAGACCAGGCACCTGTCCACAAAAAAGAACCATCGGAGCTCCTACTTAGAGAACGAAATTAGTGTTGGGTAGTAAAAGTCCTTGCCAATATACTTATTTTTACTATCTGCTTTTGGAAGTTTACTTATTTTTTACTTACTATTTAAAATTTCTCGACTTTTACTTACTTTTTACTTAGTATTTCAATTTTTCCAAGGACATTTACTTACTAAATTAAAGTAAATTTACTAAATAAATGTAATTAGGACTGAAAGTGTCGAATTGCGTTAGTTTCAAAGCGCTGAAAAGTACTGAAAATGGCGCAGAAAATTTTCTTATGCATTAATAGAGCTATACAGCCATGCAGGCGCATACTGAAAAGTAAATACTGCTGCTTTTTAGGGCGGTAGGCTGTCAGCCAAATACTGCGCACACTCACTTTACCTGCGAGAGGCAGCGGCTAACACGCCAATTTTACATAACGCTTGATAAAACGAATTAGTAAATAATTTAGTAAATGATTTTTTTTAGTCAACGCTAAACCTCAATATTTACTTACTTTTTACTATTCCGGCAGCACATTTACTTACTTTTACTTATTTTGTTTCCAAAACCTTACTATTTACTAGACTTTTAATATTAGGCGGACTTTTACTAAGTAAATGGCCGTTATTTAATTTTATTTAGTAGCACAACACTAAACGAAATGTCGAGCAAATCTTCGTGCCTGCTGGTCGCACAGGCGATTATCAGCCCCTTGACGTCAGCGTTAACAAAGCAATGAAGGCCTCTTTTCGCAGCGAATATCAGCTTTGGAGAGCAACTCATCATGAAGTAACAAAATCGGGATATCTGAAGAAGCCAGGGCGCCAAGACTTCCTGGATATGATCTCGTGCATGGCAAAGCGTAACCCCAGATCTTGTCCGTAAATCGTTTTCGCTGCTCAGGTGCTTAAGAATGATGACCGAGATCATGATTATGAGAGCTCTGAAAATGATTATGAGAGCTCTGAAATGGATAAGGAAAATCTAGTTGATGAAAGCGATTCTGAAATGGAGATTAGTTTATTCAGTGATAGTATTTTAGAGAGTGATGGTACCTGTGAGATAGAAAACGGTTTACCAAAGTAAAAGAGTGCTGTACTAAAATAAAATGAACGAAAGTAAACTTTACGTGTGCGCTGGCCGTTGGCGGTAAGCACCGTGCTCAATGCCCGACAAGGGGAAGGCAGCGCCCGGATCTAACAGTGGAGCCACTTCATCTAGCGGCTACAGTACAGAACTGCAAACACGTTAAACCAGCAACAGCAGCAGCAGATAGTGAATTCTCGAGTGTGCAACGGTTTCTTTTCGGAGTTTTCGGATTTGTTCTCATGGAAAATAAAGCATTCCATTTTGGCAACTTCAAACCATTCGTGTTTTCTTAAGCGTTGAGTTTCGTGATATCTAGCGGACATGTTATGGCGCAGTCTGCGCGGCACCCGTAAGCCAAGCGTTGCAACTTACGACCGTTATCGTTGTCAGATTTGTGAATGCGCTCCCGAAGTTTATCTGTGGAGCTTCTTGGAATTATGGGTTATCTAAACGAAAGACTATTATTTTGCAGAATTCCTCGCGACCAGAGTGTTCCTTTCCTTGGGGAGCGTTGTTAACGGTTCTGTGAGCGTTTCGGCCGTTAGCAGTGTATTCACGGGTGCCAGTCCGCTGTCTTGGGTTCCGCGCCGAGTAAGTGCCTTTTTCTTTAAAATTTCGGTGAAGTTTATGGAAGCTGAACAGTTTCAAGCGAGTTCTCCTGGTACACTATGGAAACATCTTAAAACTGCATTTTTTAACGCTGTCGTTTTGAAAGTGCTGCAGTGTGGGAGATTACTGTAAACAACTGGAAGGTTGTTTTGCAAAGCATTTTTAAATTATGATATTGTGACTATTGTCATTCCATTTTTACGTATTACTTACTTGTTTTCCGCGATATCGCAAAGTCCTTTTTAAATTGTTCTGCATCGCATCTGCAAAACCTGGCCCTTTCGATAATGGCGTTTATCTAGAGACTCTACGACAGCGTAGGTATATACACCACACTGTGCACTGTTTCGGCTCGAATCCCGTGCTTCGTACCGAAAAAATTCATGCCTCGGCTTGTCGTAGCCCTGCCCCACGCCTTTCTGATTGGTCTCATTTTAAAATGCACCAATCAGAAAGAGAATTTAATTCTCTATCGAATGGTGTATGGTTTATCCAGAGTACCACTACATTGAGCCACTATAAACGTTGTAGACCCAGTCGCACTATACAGAAGTTGCTGTTCTGTTGCATTTATCTTTTGAACTAGGACGATTTACCACAACTTTACCAAATCCACAAGTCTGTAAACTTCATCATCTTTCGATTTCATCCAGTTTTGGGATGAAAATCTCCCCGGGAAACTCCGGGTCTTGAAATAAGTGCGAACTGTGAAATCTGGTGTTTTGTACGTTAGGTTCCCTGGCAAACGGCATACTGATAAACTTGCATGTAGCGTGTCTGCCTTGCTGGAACTGATAAAACTTGATACATACTTTCAAAAATTTTGAGTTGTCTAGCTTGTTACATCTTTTCAGAATTTTGGGAAGCCACAGAACATGAGCTAAAATCGTCTGTCACGATGTTTAAGACATTAGGGCTACCGCACACGAGTTTCTGTGGCTGGCCCCATGCTTTAAGTATGCAGTGGAGATCGGCTCATATTCGGGCTGGCACGGCTAAAAATGCGGTTCCTCGTAGACCCTATTGTGGGGCGTATATTCCCATCATTCCTGCTTTCTGGAATAGAAATCTTTTCCTTTCGATTTATTCAAAAACACTAAAAAGTTTTAGATTTTTTTCTCTACAGAACAAGCCTATGTGAGATACGATTGAGGCCATACAGAAAAAGTGGCTTTTCGCTAATAGAGTCTCTACGTTTATCAGAAGAAAAGAGCGAGTAGCTGTGATTAGAAGTCAGAAATTTTATCAGATTTCGTTAAATGTTCAAAAAATGCAGGCGGACAGTTACTTTTTCTATCGTAATTCAAGTTTCTGTGATTTTTATTCACTTTGCAGATTATGGTTTTTATTGACTTCATTATTTTATTATTTGCTGGCTCTTTCTGTCAGGTTGTCCGCACCAAGGCAACGATGTCGTCGGATGAAGAGGATGTGGCCCTTAAAAAGGCCCTGTCAAACAAAGCTCTCACGCCAAAGGAGAAAAAGTCCATCGAGAAGATTTATCAGAAGAGGTCGCAGCTGGAGCACATTTTGCTCCGTCCGGACACCTACATCGGTTCTATTGAGGCCGTCACGCAGGTTCGTACACCCGAAATTCTTGTGCTTCGCTTTTTACTTTGTATGAAAAGAGGATTGAAACTCGGTTATGGTTTTATGAAAGAAAAAAGGTCTTTGGTGTTTTTTCGACCATTTTTTTGTTGAATTTCTTAACAGCGCGAAATTTAAGAATTCACTACTGTCTTTCTGTGGCAAAAACTTGATGTTTAAATAATGTTTCGTTAAATGCTTGCAAATTTTCTTCTCTGCAGGACATGTGGGTGTTTGACACTGAACAGAAAAAGATGGTGTTCCGTGAGATCAAATTCGTTCCCGGACTGTACAAGATCTTTGACGAAATCCTTGTCAATGCTGCGGATAACAAACAGCGCGACCAGTCCATGTCGCTGATCAAAATTGATATCAACCCGGAGAAGAACCAGATATCAGTGTGGAATAACGGTCAAGGTGTTCCGGTCGTAGAGCATAAAGAAGAAAAAATGCTGGTCCCCACCATGATTTTCGGGCATTTATTGACGTCGTCTAACTATGACGATGATGAGAAAAAAGTGACAGGTGGACGCAATGGATACGGAGCCAAGCTGTGCAATATCTTCAGTAATAAATTCGTTGTCGAAACCGCTTCCAAAGAATATAAGAAGAAATTCAAGCAGGTATTATAATGTTGGATTGATTGTAGATTCGTAGCTAAAAATGATCTGTAAAACTCGTATACCGTAATAATTATGGTTTAGGCTTGCAGTTTGTGGAACAGTTGATTACTTCGTGATTCTCTGTTCCTTATATTCTTGCGTACGTTATTCCAACATTGCAGGAATGGTCGAAAAATATGGGAAAAGCTGGAGAGCCAAAAGTGGATTCGTTCAGTGGCGATGATTTCACCAAAATCACTTTCGAACCGGATCTCAGCAAATTCCAGATGACAGTTCTGGATAAAGACGTCGTGGATCTTTTATCGAGACGTGCTTATGATGTAGCGGGAACTACTGGAGGCGTTAAAGTGTACCTTAATGGAGAAAGGCTGCCGGTACGCACATTACATTAATTAAATTATTTAAAAATCTTGCGATCGGTTTATTTTGTTATTTGTCAGTGATGGTGATCTTGGCTCATAGCCAGCAGAATCTGGCAACCTGGCCGGTTGTCCGTTCAGTAGCACGTGCATATTTATTTATCGGTGCTGTATTAGCCGTACTTCGAAGTATGCCAGTTCTTCAACCTCATTGCATGTTCTGCAGTCTGTGAATTCTTAATAAGCCTCGCTAGAATCTTATAGTTTGGTTAGAAGAAATTTTGAATCCTGAATAGACCCAGGATCACAGTGGTTTTAGCTGACCACTTGTTCTCGTCCGAGGTTCATCAGCGTTAGAATGCTTGATTGCTGCTGGGTAGAATCCCTTTTGCTTATATTATTTTCTGTTTTTAGATCTCTAATTTCAAGCAGTATGTTGAACTATATACGGCCAATAGTACCGACGAAATGGGAAATCCCTTGAGTGTTGTAACGGAGAAGGCTAACGAAAGATGGGAGGTTGCGGTCACTTCGAGCGACACTGGCTTCAACCAAGTTAGCTTCGTTAACAGCATCGCTACCACAAAGGTAACCGATAGATCGATAGGCCCAAGGAGAGTTATTTGAACATTAACTGTATTGTCTGCATTCATTTCAAACTCTTTATGCACGCAGGGCGGACGCCATGTGGAGTATATCACTGATCAAATTACCAAAGCAATGAACGAAGTTATCAAGAAGAAGAATAAGAGCGGTGCGGAGATCAAAGCATTTCAGGTATCACCCGTATCGAAGTAATGCAAAGATCATGCTGATCAGTGAAATTTTGTTATTGGCTTTCAGAACACTTACTGTAACCGATGCTTCTTATTTTTCCAGATCAAAAATCATCTGTGGGTTTTTGTTAACTGCCTCATTGAAAATCCGACATTCGATTCTCAGACGAAGGAGAATATGACCTTGCAAGTTCGCAGTTTTGGGTCTAAATGCCAGCTGTCTGATAAATTTATTGGAAACGCGTTGAAGTCTGGAATAGTTGAAAACATTCTGGCGTTCGCAAAAGCAAAAGCAGAGGTATGTAATTGTTTGTTTTCTGTCAGCGGGTAGCTGATTGGTCAGTGGTATCGTGCGTCGCAGAGCCAGATGGGCAAGAAGATTCATGGCGCCAAAACCGCGAAAATTCGTGGAATCCCTAAACTGGAGGACGCCAACGATGCCGGCACGAAGCATTCTTTGGACTGCACTCTGATCTTAACGGAGGGAGACTCAGCTAAGGCGTTGGCTGTTTCCGGATTCAGTGTAGTTGGACGCGATAAGTATGGCGTGTTTCCGCTGCGTGGAAAATTGTTAAACGTCCGCGAAGCTACTCCAAAACAGGTACAGTACGTTGGCCAAATAGTGAGCCCAGTATGAATTTTAATTTGTATATAGCTGTTTTGAATTCTTATGTACATTTTCCTGCAAAATTTTCGCTTTGTAGCTGATGGAGAATGCCGAGATCAACAGTATTGTTAAGATTTTGGGCCTCCAGTACAAACGAAAATACGATTCGGAGGATGATTTGAAGTCACTTCGTTATGGAAAACTGATGATCATGACGGATCAAGACCAAGATGGCTCTCACATCAAGGGGCTGCTTATCAATTTCATTCACTTTAACTGGCCTAGTCTTTTGAGACACGCTTTTCTTGAAGAATTTATAACTCCAATTGTGAAGGTAAACAGTTATTCGTTTTATCATTTATTTTACAGTAACAAGATAGGAACAGGATGCCTATAAAATTTGAAAACTTGTCTTCTCTGTGGTTCGTTTGCGTTGCTACCCTTTTTCGTTTAGTTTTTCAGTCACTTTGAGTTTGAGGCGATGCCGCAGTGGCATATGTAGATTAATAAGTTTTATTTCAGGCGACCAAAGGGAAGATTGAGGAATGCTTTTATAGCCTCCCAGAGCTGGAAGAATGGAAGGCCAAGCTCACAGAGAACGAGTTGAAAAGATACAAGATCAAATATTACAAAGGATTGGGTACTAGTACGTCGAAGGAAGCCAAAGAATACTTTGACAACATGACGCGTCACCGGATAGCTTTCCGATACGGTGGACATGAGGACGACGATGCTATTGATCTGGTAAATTATCTGTTGTCCACAGATATCGTTTTATTTTAACTATAGATATAAGCTACTATATACCTTAACAGATATTCTTCTAAAATTATGCAAAAGCTTCGGCCATTCAGTGCCCGCAAAAGACGAGTGCACTTTCCATGTTGTTTACCGTTAACTTTCCTTAGGCTTTTGCGAAAAATAAGGCGGACGCCAGAAAAGATTGGCTGACGAAAGGAATGGAAGACCGTAAACAACGCAGATTGGATGGCCTCGGCGAAGTTAGCCAACCCATGCCGTTGTGTTACTGTGCACGTTGTTTCTGTTTCCAACTGGTATTTGTTTATCCAGGTTTATCTTTATACAAAAACCACGAAGGCTGTGACATACAAGAAATTCGTGGATGAGGAGCTTATTTTGTTCAGTAATATGGATAATGAGCGATCCATCCCTTCCATTCTTGATGGTAAGAAATCTAACTCTACAAATTTCCTGTTATATATCCTAAAAATTATGCTTGTTACTTTATCATTTATTTGTTTGATGATTCGTTTTTTTATTCAGGTTTAAAGCCTGGACAACGGAAAGTACTTTTCACACTTTTCAAGAAGAATGAGAAAAAGGAATTAAAGGTGGCCCAGTTTGCCGGTTCCGTCGCTGAGCTTTCCGCTTATCATCACGGCGAAGTAATTCTCATCGACGAAATTGTGTCGTTTTTGTGTGTATCAAATCAGTCCTTTTGACAGCAATCATTGATGTCGACGATTATTGGATTGGCTCAGAATTTCGTTGGATCGAACAACATCAACCTCCTCATGCCACTCGGACAGTTTGGTACTCGTCTGCTTGGTGGAAAAGATGCTGCCAGCCCTCGATACATCTTCACCAATCTGAGGTGTTGTGTGCGTTATCTTTGTGGTGTCCATACTTTACTGATGCCAGCGTGTCTTTTGTTCATCAGCCCAATGGCCAGAGCCGTGTTCCATCCCCACGATGATCCGCTGCTAAATTATCTAAACGAAGATAACCAGAAGATCGAGCCAGATTGGTATATTCCCGTTGTGCCTATGGTTTTGATTAATGGCGCCGAAGGCATTGGAACCGGGTGGATGACGAAAATTCCGAATTATAATCCACTGGATATTGTCGCGAATTTAAGAGCTTTGATCCGCGGAGATGAAATAAAGCCAATGGTAAACTTTTTCATACAAAAGTTTATAGATTAATGCGCAAAAGATTACCAGCAGCTCAGATAGGTTTTATTTTTGCAGAAACCATGGTATAAAGGATATCGAGGGGAGATTCTGCCTGTGGATCCAACTCGTTATTTGACTAACGGAGAAGTGGCAGTTCTTGACCAGGACAATTCCATTGAAATAACTGAACTGCCGATTCGGACATGGACTCAAAGCTATAAAGAATCGGTTGTCGAGCCTTTGCTTTCAGGCACAGAAACCAAAGATGGGAAAGGGAAGCCTGCTCAGATTCTGTTAGTCATATTTGTAATTTCATTTCATGCTTCCTTAAGTACGGCTATTTATATTTTTGATATGTACTCTAGGGATTACAAAGAGTACCATACGGATACTACCGTTCGCTTTGTGATTCGAATGTCAGGAGAGAAATTTGAGGAATTCCAAAGGGAAGGTTTCCATAAGGCATTTAAGCTCCAGCAGACCATATCGATGAGCAGTATGGTAAGTGCGAAGGATTTCTACATGTTTACCTGAATCTTGTGTCCGGCGAAAAATTCCTGCATTTTACCTTCGTTTTGTATCAGTCAGTCTGTTTTGTGTTGAACATGACCCGAACTTTCAATCATGAATTTTACAGTTTGTGCATTCATAGAATGCGTCTTCTTTAATTCGATACTAAATATGTCTGCAATCCGAGGTCTTTATTTATTGGACAATCGACAAGTTTGGTTTTAAAGCATGCGGTCTGTTTACTTTAGGTTCTTTTTGATTCTAATGGAGTTATTCGCAAATACGATAATGTCAACGACATCTTGCGTGAGTTTTTTGAAGTTCGAATGGCGTTTTACGGCAAACGAAAAGACTATCTTGTGGCGCATCTGTCGGCTGAGGCGCTGTCGCTGGAGAACAAAGCACGGTTCATTGACGAAAAAATTAAGGGGAAAATTACAATTGGTAAAACCGCTGTCCCATTGCGATTACCGGTCTGATTCATTCTGTTTGCTTATGACAGAAAACGTTAAGCGGAAAGACCTAATCACTAAATTGAAGACAGCCCAACCACCTTATGATTCGGATCCGGTGAAAACCTGGAAAAAGAAAATTTCTGCGATGACAGAAGATGAAGCTCCTATCGCGGATGACGATGACGGCAAGAAGAATATTGAAAACGAGGAAGCCGGATCAGATTTTAACTACATTCTTGAAATGCCTCTTTGGAGTTTGACGAGTGAGCGATTTGCGGAACTCTTGAAAAAGCGGGATGCGATGGTACGAGCATTGTAAATTATTAAGGATCACTGATATAAACCGGTATTTGCGCTTGGTTACCTTTCGTGTTGCTGTTTTGGCTTCTCTTTTTGGTTCACTTTATTGGTCAAATCAAAAACGCAATACAGAAACAGAAGAAGAAAACACGCTAACGTATAACAGAACTAAACTTCTTTTTGGTGCAATAGAATGACGAGTTATCCATTCTTCGGAAGAAGACACCCTCAGATTTGTACACGGAGGATCTGGACGAATTCGAATCCCGTCTGAAAGTGTGTGCCTTTCTGTTATTCCTTAAGATCGTTATGGTTTTCGTAATGGTTGTTGGTTGCAGAAAGTGGAAGCAGAAGAAGCGGACGGAGAAGCCTTTGTGTCGCCAAACAAAAAGCCTGCTGGTAAAGGTGCTGCAGCTAAGGGCAAGAAGGGAAAGGGAGCCGTTGCCAGCAAAGCCGACACGCTTCCGTCAGTCTACGGAACCCGCGTTGAGCCCGTTGTTGATGTTGCTACTATTGCCAAGTTTGAGAAAGCTAAGGAACTAAAGGAAAGAAAGGCCGCTGTAAGTTAATAATTCACGCAGTGTCTACCTTAAACCAAATGCGGGAGTGCTCTTATTGCTGCTTGTTTAAATTCGTTGCAGGGCGAGCCGGCTCGAAAAGGTCGCAAAGGAAAGGATGTTGATAAAAAGAATACAAAAGAGAAAGCCACGGAAGAAGCAGGTAAAATTCCGAAATGTTTTTCGAATCGGTAATAATAATCATTCCAAACCGGTGCTGTAAATTGTTCAGGTGGTAAAAAGTTCAAGCAAACCACACTGGATACGAAGGTTGAGAAGAAAGCACCGGCTAAGAAGAAGGCCGCCGATTCCGACGACGAGTCTTCCTTCCACTCATCCGCGCTTAGCAGCGATGAAGACGAAGAGATGGTCATCGATGACTCGGAAAGCGAAGGGGAAACAAAAGCCAAAAAGCCTGCAAAACACTTAGCTCCCAAGCGCAAACGCGATTTGAGCCCGGAAATCGAAGAAGAGAATATTGACATCAACGCCGAGAAGAAGAAGAAAACCATGGCGAAGAAGAAAGAGGCTGTGGTGAGGTTCGTTCCTTTGTCTCCGTTGCCAGTGGGGCTAATGGCGGCACATCTTTTACACTCTTGTAGGTGGAAAAGACGGAAGACGACTCGGAAAAGGGTGTTCAGTCGGTCGGTCAGCTACCAGCCGGTCGCGCACCGGCTACGAAAGCGCCAATAAAATTGGCCGATACGAAGAAAGTCGTTGCCATGAAAGCGGCCAAGGTTATTTCGCTCTCATCTGACGAAGAGGAGGAACCGCCAAAACCAGCAAGGAAACCGGCCGCGAAGAAAGAACCTCTGGTATGCCCATGTGTTACATTCGGGTTGGCCTTTCCTATGTTACATCAAATTAGTGTGTAATGTACTGGGTGCGCTTTGCAGAAGCCTTCCAAACGAGCTGTGTCGGAATCTGCATCGGAGGAGGAAATTGTCGCTCCTCGCGCGCGTACAGCCCGTGCTGCTGCCGCAGCAGTGAAAAAGTTCGTCTTCGACGATAGCGCCTCGGAAACCGACAACAGCGAAGAGTATGTCCTGGAAACCAGCAGTTAGGTTTTGTTGTTATAATATATTGTATTTCTTTGGCTCACGGAAAGTTTTGGCTTCTCCAGAATTTCTCCTTTTTGTCTGTTCAGTTTTTTGTTGTAAAATTGAAATCCGTTTTTTTTTGTGAATCTTTGAGTCTCTTTTCCGTTATTTCTGCTGTTGAGGTATTGAAGATTGTTTGTTGCGCTTTTCGATGAGAATCCTGTCCGTCCGAATGGAAATCCACTTTAGGCTGTTTTAAGCAGTTGTACATGCCGTGCTGCTGGCAGTTGTTGATTTATTTCACAATTTTTCAGTGAACTTGAATAATATAGTACTGTATATCTTTGACCTCACCAAAACTTCCCATAGTATGTGTGCTTCTTGCTGTTCCTAACTGGAGCGAGATTATGTGTATGAAAAATGATCAGTGCATAAGTTCTGAGATTTTAAAAATTTGTAGACTTTCCAAAAAGCTGTTGTGAAGAGTTACGTACAAAAGCTGTTGTGAAGAATTACGTAATTAACACATCGGCACTTCATACTGCGACATGGTGGTCGTCGAGCAACGAAAGTACCAATTACAAGTGCAGCCGCGCTCGTATCATTTAAGGCATTAATGCCATAATTAAAAAAATTTAAAAAAAAACTTTCTTTGATTACTGCCTAATTTGTTGCAAAATTTTATAACTTGCAGCAAAAAATAATGTTTAGGATACTGATGCTATTACATGCTAAAATAAGCAGAATTAAAGCGTTTGCAATTAAAAAGCGTTAAACCGCCAGTACTCTGTAGTTGATCATTGATAATTTGTTTGATGATATATGGTGCGGAATCTTCTCATTCCGCTACTATTCTGCAAGACGTTGCCCCATGTTTCGGCTGGCCACCAGCGGAACTGAAGCGGAAAGCAACAAAACGCAGCATAGCAGCAACGTGACTATCCTGTGCTGTGCGCTTGAAACACGCCGGTGTATAAGAAGAAATAATTGCGTTTTGTATCACTGTAACTCGCCAAACTGATATCGGCGTTGTCTTACTAACGAGCCAATCAACGGATGTAAAATGGCATTTATTCCTTATGGTTAACTAGCGATACTCGAATGCGCCCACCCAGTTTTTAATTAATTAACTAACCGGAACCGCCAATACACACAGCTTAAGGTTAAGGAACGGTTTTTTCTCTCCCACCCGCTTAAGCAGTGCCGACCACAAGTGTGAGTGTGCGCCAGCGATACTATTGTGTACCGAAACACTGTACATCGTCTAACGTGCGCAGCCGCGGTATGCGAACTGCATCCCAGCGCCATTACAGCGTGACCTTGTATAAAATGTACCGTATCAAAGCAGTTGAGTTTTTTCATTCCGTATATCACACTCGATAATTCAGCTTGTGATTTGGAAGGTGAAGCATTAAATGTAAATGTATGCCGGATGTGCTGGTTGCAGCTTCATTGGATTACGCAGGTTTTTCTAGTCGTCTGTGGCGGCAGACAGAGGTGGTCAGTGTTCTGCTCCCGGCGTACGCTGCTAAAGTTACTACCGGCACAACGCTCGAATCAGTTTGTCTATGCCGATAGCCGAAACTGCGCAATCACTTCCGGTCCTTTGCTGACATATGCGCTTTGGATCGTCTTGATGTAATGGTGTTCATCTGGCAGTCGCTTTGATTTTTACCGGACCAAAGCGGTTGGGTAAGTGAATACAGATACTGATTTATAATTTATTTATAATATTATTGTTTAGTTTTAATTGTGACCAAACCATTTCGCGGACTCATAAAGGTACCAACGCCCAAAAACATAATAATGAATTCTATTTTATTATACGGGCAAAAATATGTGAAAAACGTAAAATTCGTTTGCAGTGCATATCTTAATCGACACATTTACAGTATTTGCAGCAGCATGTCCAGAGCGCACGTGGTTGTATTTTTTCTGTTTCTACGAGTATGTTGTAAAAAAAATATGGTATGATTAATTTTATGATATGGAGATTACAGGAATTACAACTGTTTTCACTGAAGAAAGTAAGTTGTCCGGCAAAAATAGTGCTGGGTCAGGTTATTTGAAAATCAGTTTATAATAATATAGGAAGCAGTTTCTCGTACCGCAGATACGATTTTGCTAATACCCTGCTGTACTATTTTTGCTATTCTGTATTACATCAGATGCAGTACATTTGACGAAAAGGCCAGGAAAACTCTGTCGGTATTGTGTAGATGAATCGATTATTTATGAAGGATAGATGTGTTTTTGGCGAAGCATCCACGTGTGTATGAGTAAATAAGTTTAAGCGCTATCAAACGCATATACTCACGCCGCACTATTACAGTAACAAGCGTGTATCAATATTTGATCATAATAATTTTTATACAATGGCTAGTATTATTTTTCAAGCACACCGTATGAAAGTGCATGAGAAAGAAAGTGCTGTGATCGATAGAAATTAGCCTTGTCCCCATTAATATCATTTTCGTCTGGCGTCATTTTAGTGTACCTAGTTATAACATTTTGTACGAGGAACAAATGTAATGGATGATATTTTTTTCTGCACTGTTAATTATAACAAAGCCGCTAGAAAAATACGCCTTTTATATAGGGAAATGAATTAGTGGCCTTCTCATGGTTTACTCCAGCGTCATTGCTGTTGATAAAGAAAACAATATTTCGTTATCAACCACCGTAATATGCAGTTGGCAGTCAACACAACACTGAGTTGAGAAATGTCATTTGCATGTAATTTCCAATTTCCTTCAGCGAAATTCGCGATGATGCTTAGCTATAGTTGACCAGCCGTCTTATAGCAGTATGGAAAAATAACACCAGATTCGAAAGTTTTTATTACCGATTTAATTTGATTGCAATTTGTCGCTACGGTAAATTTGTGTGTCCGGCAAATATTGCTTGAGGTTTATGACTGCAGTTTTTGCGCTTGAAAACGTACATGGACTGATCTGTCTATTGAGAAAAGGTAATGTCGAAACCTATTGATCTAACGATAAGTGTTTATTGTACGGCATGCAGGTAATAGGACAGTTATAACTTTAGCTATTAGGTTTATACCACGATGAAAATTTCTGTTGAAGTATATTTTTAACTTTTTTGTAATTCGTCGAGATACGTATGTGTGATGTTAACATGCAATGTCGATAAAGCCAAAAGATATGTGCTTGTTGAATGAAGTATGGCAGTTATTAACGAAAGCCGTTGATATGTATCTGTTTTCACCTCTTTAACAGTGTAGTCAAGTGTTTCACGCTTGGAATGCCGGCGAAAGTATAGCTATTTTGTAAGTGACATTACGAGTTTATTTCCTCCAATGCGCCGTGAGAACCACTGTGAGCCCTATTGACTGCCTGGATATTCTTGTTTTGACCGTTCTTCAGCATAAAGAATGTAATTGATATTGTTGCATAACCCTTTTATTCCGCATGGAAGTGATCATAATACTCATATACAATGAAACGATGATTACGTGGAAGAGTCTGGTTTTGTTTACCAGTGTTCTGGTAATAATAATGAGTCTGGTAATTTTACTAATGTGCTGGTTCTGTTCTGCTTTATATCGGATGATCATTGGTTGTAGTTCTGGTTGCAAATGATTTGATCTCACTTTGTACTAAATTTCTTCATTTTAACTTATGCTGAAGATATGGGCACCGAACTATTAATTTTAGTCGACATCTTACAAACAGGAAATGGTTATATACAGATTTTCATTGTACAGAGTACATTTTACTCTTACTGCTTGCACATGGCTGCCATAAACCTGATAACAATAATTTTTTTCCTGTTATTTAACGTTTGTGTACAATAGTCATCTACGTGAATTATCTAGACGATCAGTTTATTCAGGAATTCGGAAGTGGAAGACACTTCCTACTTTAGTGCTTAATCAGGTGATGACAAATGTGCGCGTCCCTATGCACGCTCAGGGTGTTAAGGTCATTGACTATTAAATTTTTTAGTGTGCATGTTCAGCTCTATCTAAATGAAAATTTACCTAGAGTGCGCGTGTTGCTTCTGTGCGCACGTATTTCAGTTGAATGATTTTATGATGTGAATTTTCTCAAATAAAACTGCTTGATTCACCTATTCGTCGGGTCTTTCAACTCATCTCATCTCTGGCTAACAATCTAAAAACTCTGTTAAACAAAAAATGTTCGCACTCCAGTTCGAACACTAATGGAAACAGTCCGATAAAGCTCACCACATGGTTCTATCAGATTGTAGCATCTGCTCAACATTAGCCGGCATTGCTTGCATATCGTGCTCGTACCAGAATCATTGTGTACTTTACGGATAATTCGCGCCTAATTAGCTTGGGACAAGTGTGCCGTTTACTTTTTTATGTTGCCGATTTCATAAATTTTGTGCATACTTTTCGAGTGCAGATATATCGCTATTTGCATAAATCCCGGAACACTGCGCGCATGGCCGTCATTTCAATAAATCCAACAATTGTTTGTTTATTGCGAAATGCGAAGTATAGAAGTATACTAATTTAGACTGGATTACACTAATTTAGACTTTTAAACATTTTTCACTTATAAAAAATACTCGTGCAGGACGAATTCTTGCTTCGGGCCACTAAAATGTTTTGGTTTCTGTTTAAAGGTCAGTACTTCTGGATTTCCGGCGTGGTGCGCCATTGACCCAGTCTGTCTTTCACTAACAGAGAATGAATCAATTGCACATACTTACTTTGGGAGGCCTTTTAGGTAAGAGCTAAACTTTTTCTGAACTCCCGATTTCGCCGAATCTGAAAGAATATAATTTCGCATCCTATATAAGCTGGATATCTCAACTGTTTTCGCTTTCGCTTATAGAATTGTATTGCTGGTAATCGATTTTTGTTAGCGAGCGCGACTGCGTAGCTATAGGAGTAATTCGTTTAGTAATATTGTGTTTCCTCTAGCACTGGTGCACGGCCAGCTATACCAAAGAGAAGCGAAGAGTCTGAGCGTCTCCCGTATGCAGTCCCTAAGCGGATGTTTTCACGATGGGCGGTATTATTACGAACGCTCCCTAATTCCCACTGTCGATTCCTGCATAAACTGCAAATGCGAAGGCGGTTTAGTCAGATGCAACATGACCTTGTGTCCAATGTATCCCACGATACAAGAAGGCTGCCATTTATCCCATGAAGATGGGCTGTGCTGTCCGCAGCTAACATGTGATGGTGAGATGATGCACCTTGCGATGACCTTATCAACTGCTGATCATCATCTTCTTCACTGACGGTTGCTGTTCTTTTTTAGAAACTGTCGCTAAGAAGATGGCTCAGGTTCCAGCTATACACGAAGCTACTTTATTAGGTAAAGTATGCAGATGAATTTGCAAATGTTAAACTTATAAGTAATATGTATGTTATAGTCGCACGCATTAGTCTACATTAATTTTATGGCTGGGGAAAAGATCTGTATTATGAAAACTCACGAATTAACGTTCGCTTTGTATGTTTCAACGATTATTGGACAGACAGAACAGATGTCTACGGAAAAAAACAGACGTGTCAGTAATTGTAGGTTGCACCTATAATGACGTTGAATTCGGTTTGGGCGATTTTATTCCCACATCGGATCCATGCCAGGCGTGTTACTGCATCCACAACCGAACACAGTGTGTGCATCAAAACTGTGCTTTACCGGAGTCGGCACGTGAAGGTTGTCGTCCGGTCTATCACCACGGAGTGTGCTGTCCCATTCGCTATGACTGCAGTACGTCCACTTTTGACCATCTCGCTAAATGCGTAATGGCATATAGCAGCGATCCAAATGTTGTGATCTGCATTGGCAGGCGAAGCACAATCCTCACCACCCACTCTCCGTCCACCGTTTTTGACGGAAGGATGCGCCGTGAATAACCGTTTCTACGACGAAGGCGAGGCCATCCCATCCGGGAAGCCCTGTGAGCACTGTTACTGCATGAAGGGCGAGATGATCTGTGCCATGCAGAAATGCGACAGTCCAATGGCTGGCTGCGTACCGGTACTCAAGAACGGACAGTGCTGTCCTGAACGATATGAATGCCGTAAGTGCAGCTTCCAGTGCGCCCTTTCGGATAACGTTTATGGCTCTTTCTCTATTTGTTGGATTAGCGAATACCGATGCCAATATGATTGGGGATTCTTCGAAAACTGGTCTGAAGAGCCTGGCGTCCTTCAACGTTAGCTATCATGGGAACGTGTGGAACGGACAACGCCTGACGTCTACCACGCGAGGCCTGGAAGACGACTCGGAATCCGGAGAATACCGCATTACTACCGCTTCATCCGTTAGTGTGACGTCACCGTTGTCTGTGATCTCCACAACGAAGACGGCCGAGGCGATGCAGAGGGGTCAGTTGGCCGGCTACCCAACGGCAGTGCCCACTCAAGCCGTTTTAGGCTTCAACGAGTCTGTGTTCAATGCGTCGACCTTCCAAAAAGGTCTTGCAGCGGGGAGGAATCCATCGCTGACCGTAGTTAACGGATCACATGGTACACACTTGTTTTAGTATTGATCCTTAATTGTCATAAAGTGTCAGACATCTTTTCAACAACTTTTGTATTCAGAATTTAATACGATAATTTACAGCGCTATAACTGTTATTGTTCGGCTAGCGACAACTGACAATGTACTAACTTTGCAAATACACTTGGGCAAGTGTTAATAATTAGTTAACATATTCTCGATATTTGTTTGGGCTGTTCACCTTTTTACGGCCGTCCGAATTGTTTTCTTCTACGCTAAAACTGCGGCTAATCAAATCTTTTCAGCAGAAACTTCGGACGCGGATGTTCCAATCAACAAAGTGTTGCCAGAAGATCTACTGCACTATACCAATGTACTAACAACAAAGGTCGGCATTGTACCGTTATCATCGACATCAGACTTCTTTAACTCGGCGGATACTCTGGGCACCCGACCTCCCAGCACAACACCGGCAACCGCCAACACCGACCATCTGGAACTTCATCTTCAACCGGATAACCAATCAGTTGTCATCAATCAAACACACTCTAGCTCGGTAATACGCATTCGACGAGTACTATAGTGTTATTCATTCGTTGACACATTGTCACCTTCGACAACACATTTGACAACACATTCGACAACACCTTTGTAATCTTTTAGGTAAATTCAAATAACATGTCGCAGAATCCCGACGACAGATTGATAACTCATATTGTTGACGGAACGCAGTCCTTGGGAATCATAACGTCCTCGTCTGACCAAAATGATATCATCCAGTTGAACACAAGAATCAATGTCACGGCGTCCAGTCCAACCGAAAGTGGATTGAAACTCAGCCTTAATGGAGTTCCGGTACAAGGACCGAGTATAGCGACTGCAATGCCCACGGCAGGTAAAAGTCCAGCAACGCTGTTCCATGCAAAGGGGATTATGTATATGAGGGATGTACAAGTTAAACAGCAAAACAATAATCATATTTTCATGAAGCACTTTATGATAGAATGAGCAGTGTCCTTATGTTATGTAATCACGAAATTTAGTCTTTTTTTAATAATCTAGTCTGTATATTGCAGTGTGGAACAATGTGCCGACTCCGTATGGTAACCATACTCGTAAGCCGGTCCTGCCTGCTCCCCTGGACCCGACGGCATCCGATCCAATTGAAGGCCTTATCCGTTTCTTTTCGGCCGACTCTTCTGCCTCCGCTGCATATCCATCGGCGCAACCAAATCCTTTACTTCCCATTCTTCCTGAGGCCATTACAATTCCCTCCAGCACAGTGAGCGCCATTGAACCCATTGGTCCCAACGATCCCGAACCAGAAATCTCCCACGATTTCACAAATAACATAACGTCGCCGGTTGCCTTTGCTCACCTCACGCAGATGGGTTTGGCCATTGATCCATCCGCTTCCGATGAAATAGAAGGCCTAATCTCTGGGGGCAACATTAAAGCGCCATCAAATCTGTTACTAAAGGTCAACACGTCGGTACCCATTGACCCAGAATCCGCTGCCCAGGTCGAGGGTGTGGCTGCATCAGGCTCCGGTGGAGTGGCTTTTAATTCCGACGGTGTGGCCAGTGTCGCGGAGCAACTGCATGCTAACGATCAGCACCCGCCGAAGAACACCCTACCTGTCGACCATCCCCAACCTGTGGATCCGTCTTTAGGAGCGATATTGGAAGGTAGTGATGCGATTGCCAGAAATATGACCTTTGCGACTCCTCTGGATCCATCTATAGACGCCGAAGTTGAAGGTGTTCTGGGGTTGCCAAAGGCACCAGCAAACCTATCGATGATCAGCAATGCAAAAGTAAGGAAAAGTCAGGGGACCAAACTTCCGCTGGATCCCAACGCTACCGAAATAGAAGGAGCTATCATCGTTACAACAGCCGCAGAAAAAGTTCGCAGTGCACCTAAACCTTCTGTGAACGCCGGGATGCCAGTTGATCCAGTAGGTTCGGATCAGATCGAAGGAGCACTGACTGCTGACCAGAGTAAGCAACATCAGCATTGTTTTGCTAAAGCTGCTGTGCGAGCACCGTACTTTATGCTAGGTGTACTTAAGCTTGCTTTTTCGTTTTTTATAGTACATTTCTCACGTTTTGTGACTTGCTTTACTGTACTTGAATACTTTACAGATGCTCATATCATTACAGCGGCAGGTAATGTCAAAGTACCTAAACAACAGCAGAATGCATCGAGTACCCGTAACAAAATCAAAGTTATTAACGTTCAACTACAACCGGTGGAACCTTCTTCACAAGACACCGTCGAAGGGATTTGGCAGCTGTCAGGACAGCAGCCGGGTGCAGGTAATAATTTTCTACTCTAAGGACCTGCGCACTTTAGGAGCAAAATACACGTTGAGTATGAATTATTACAACATTTTCAGGTGATATGGTACTTTCCACCACATCAACCGTCCAACCGCTAGGCATCTCGGTTCCACAAGTCGTCCATAGAGTTGCTGGTCAGTTCGCTTTGGGCGGCGCTGTTATTAACCAGAAACGCACGATGACTATTGCTGCCGAGAATGTTACATTGTCGTCGTCTTCGCCCATTTTGGGAAGTACACTCATATCTGTCCGGCTCAATGGAAGCGTCCCGGTGCCGTTAATGCTGGCTCTCAACAGTGCCAAATCTACCCAACCTATTGTTCTCGGTCCAACGGAGCCAACGCCAGCTTCTACTGGAACCAACAGTCAACCGGGATGGGATGTCAGCAACGGCCAGGGATGGGGAAAGCTAGCTATAAATAAAGGATGGGGATCGTCGTCCGACGGCAACAGAGGATGGGGTTCGTCATCCCAAAACCAGGACGCAGCGACCAGTGTTCATGAACCGTCACCTACTTGGTCACCCAAACCGATGATACCTCGCCCCTTAGCTAAACCAGTTGAGCCACTTCACGAAGACGACTACGAGGGCCTGCTGCGCCCACAGGAAGGTGCGGTCGGCTTATCTTCACTGAAACCAGCGGGCGCAAAGACGCCTGTGCATCCACTAGATCCGCTGCCGAGCGATCAGTTCGAGGGAATGGAAAACCACAATGCCATGAATAAAATGGAAATTCATCAAGAAGAAACCACAGCACTTCCCACTGGAACAACCACGGTTGGGCAACCTACCGTGACCCGCGTACTAAACAAAATTCCAATTTTGCCAGCACGATTTACTACGAAACCTCCCCAAGTTGCGGATCGATGGTCTACAACAACTGGCGCGACTGCAACCACAACAACTACGATGCAAACCACGACATCCGCACCGACAATCTCGAGTACTGCCGTGGAGTTGGTATCCAGCCCCGAGCCTTCATCTGCACTACCACTGAAGCCGGCGAACATGGTTACAGAAATACCCGCTGATGCGCAAGCCACAGGAGTGGACGCCGATGGTAGTATGTTCAATGGGTCATTGCATGCCGTCGCATCCAGTTTTCCCAATGGGCAACCATTAACAGGCATTTACGAAAATGGTAATGTGCTGACTGATCTTCTACAGAATTTCCGAAGGCTTCGGTCATTTTAGTTTTGTGGTTGCATACGTTTAGGATGCTACTTCGAGGGTAACTATTACCGAAATTACCAGGCCATTTCAACGGATGATCTGGTTGATCCGTGTCTGGTACGCGTGTGCAAGGACGGGATTGTATTTGGACCCAGCGTGCAGCGTTGCCCACCACCTATTCCCGGCTGCTTTAGCACTTCCATACCCGGCGTCTGCTGTCCAGTTTACCTCTGCCGTAAGAACATCACCCTTATTTTTTCCACCTTCCGTTTTGTTACAAATTATGGCTGATTTACTTTACTCTGGAGCTGATGGGATGTTTTTTACAGCGAACTATCTTGAGCGCAACGAGACGTCGTACACACTGACAGCTGCAGCGGGCGATCAGCTAAACACGGAAAAAACGCGATTAGCACTGGCAAAATGTTTGTACCTCATCGCGTTTCAAATTACTAGTCATTTCGAATGAGATCCAAAATTTTACACCTTCGTATTGCAGTCTGCCGAGTTGGACCGCGCTTCCTAGCGCTAAACGAACGGGTGGTGCACGTTATGGGAGTACAATGCCAGACGTGCACTTGTAAAGCAGAAGGGCATTGTTTGTGAACCTGGATGTGCACAGAACATTCTGATTACCACGCTGGCACCGCTGGTCCAGAATCCCCGTCGTTTCCAAACCATAAGCACAACACCCGCTACCACAACATCTTCAACGCCGCCGCCTATAACCGAACCGTTGGGATCAAGAAGTATGCCGCACGCTAGTTCTGCTGTACATGAAGCGGTGATCGCCATATTAAGAGCCAGTTCTGCGTGATATAGGTTGCACAATTCAAAAGAAAAAGTTCCACCATGGGGATGAAGTGACATTCAACGATCCATGTCACATGTGCACGTGTTTGGATGGACTGGTGATCTGCAAGATGAACCGTAAGGCCTGCCGATCGGCGAAATTGCTAGGTGCCCTTGACGCACTGTGACGACCGGCACACTCCCGGAACCGAGGAATCCATGACCGGTAGCTCACAATTCAGCAGTGATTGACAACAGCATGTCCGCCGCTTTGTTAAATTTCTCAGCTATGATTTCCAGTAATAATTATTGATAAAGCGTGAATGACTGATTAACCGTTGAAAATTTTGTTGGATCATACAATTGTATAGTTACGCTAGCTCTTGTTTTCTTGTTAAAATAGTTACGCTCTCTTGTTTCTTGTTAAAAATTTCCAGCACGATATTGCCAATATTTGAATTGAATAATAGAATATGTATCTGATTTGTACTCGTATCTCAGAATTGTTGCCTTGTTCTCTTCCGAGCGTTCTATGCAAGCTGTCAATGCAACACTAAAAGGGTGCCGATAAAGATACTGCACTTATAAAGTTTCCAGTGGAATTTTTTCTTGCGCATTTTCTGAGTATAAATTTACTCAACTTTTTGTTTTACAGCTGAAGGTACTTCAGATTTGCTCAGCTTCTGAAGCCGCCAACTTGGCGTGCCATCAGGGTGTACATAAGTGCGTGTAAATTGTAATACACCGCGTGCCAGCTAATGTTTTTTAAGCAGGTATTTTTAATTATACTAATTATGCCTAGAAAATGTTAAAAATTCTGCCGGCCGCGTTTTTACCACAAAAAGTTCTGCCGGCGTTTTGACCTTGGCCGTTGACTATCAGTACTCGCTAAGCCGTTTCTGTCTTGCCGGTCGACCTCGGCACGGTCGTAAACGATGCCGCTCTTGTCCCATTATGTGTATTGTTGGTCGCTGGTTGGTTCCGTTACAGCTTACCTTTACATATTGCGATGTATGTAAATATAGTAAATCGTTTTAAGTAAGTATCTTTTTGTACAGCTGCATTTGTACAGCTGTATTCCTAAAAGGCCAATCTTAAATTGTTAAGCTTACCTGACTTTCCTTTGTCCCGGATTATTTTTTTTCTTCACCATTTGAGAAAAATTAATAAATAACATGAGTCAATTTTGTTAGATATGTAGCGGGTTTTTTTAGCCCGGGAAACTTGATCCATAACTTTGTTTACAATACTCAAGTTTAGCAACACATGCATATCTTAATAATCGCGCAAGCCTTAATCTTTGAAGTCACCGCAACGGACACAAAGCGAATGAACGTACAATGAACTCATATTAATTTCTTAGGTCAGGTAAAACTTTGCCACGAAGGATCAGAATGAACTACATAAAGGACTGCTCGGCGAGCAGTGCATGCAGTAAATGTTTATAAAATCGTTCCCAATTAAAAACACTCATAAAGGTGCATTGGTGCAGAAATCATTGAGTGGGAGAGAACTGCCACTGCTGTTCAGTGGACAGAACCCGCTAACAATAAGTGAACGAGTAACCGAGCTAACGCTGCATTCCAATGCAGAATCCGCTAAATGAACGAGTGACCGAGCTAACACCGCTGTTCAGTTATGGTAGCTCGGTCACTCCTAGGTGGAGCACGCAAGTAACTGATGGTGAGCAAGTAACTGAGCCACCTCTACTGAGCGGACACACACCACCGGACACATACCACCGGACAAATACCACAGAGACCCTGTGAAATGAACTAACTGAGTCACCGAACTAACGAGTGTCCAGTGCACTTGCACTGTGAGTATCAAATTTGATTGTCGAAAAATTATGTTAAACTTCGAGTATGTTTTCGAATAGGTAGGTAAAATAATGATTTGTGAATTTGCGAAGCCGCTTCAACTTCAAGCTCAAACTCAAGTTCAAGTCAAAAAAGTAATACAGGCTATGCTTTGACCCGCCGAAACATGAACTTGAACTTGCAAAAACGTAACTTGTGCAAGTTTCAGTTCAAGTTGGAGGGCCCTCCAAATTGAGTAACTTTTGCATACCTGCCGTTCGTTAACGACTGGATTAAGAACTTGAACTCGAGCAAATTTTAAAAAGAAAAACATTTTCTATTACTTTGTTGCTTGTTTACAAGTTTGTTTCAAAGTAGTTCGACTCCTGTAAATAATCTACGGGCAGCACCGATGGCTTGGTTTTTGTCGTCAACGCTGTCTCCACCAGCCTTTAGAGTCGGCAGCTACCTACTTGTCTTATCGCTGCCAGTGCTAATTTTTGAACCGTTACGTGGTGTTTCGTTCGATTTAAATTCTAAACGGCTATATGCCAAAAGAAAGAAGAAATCACAGCAATTTTTTTGAACCTATGGGAGTTCGTTTTTATGCAAAAAAAATGCTTGCAGGCCAAGTGGAATCTAGCATAGCAACCCTACGGACGATGGGGTACTCCGCATGAGCACTAGAGCCCGTAAATCGTCACAATTTTGGCAGCGAAACGAAAAATTTTGTCGTACTGAGCAAACGTAACGAAACTTAACTGCACGCTTCCTGTCCCATAAAATAACGAACCTTGACGAATTTATAAAATATTTGAGCGCAACTTAACGATAACTTTCGATATTTTTCCGTAAAAAAAACTGAACTCAACGAAATCGCAAAATACAAATCACAGTAGTAAGCGTTCCTGGGATTAATTTTATTTATCTGAATTTTCTATGTGGTTCCACATCAAAAATAGTAGATCAGATCATCAAGCTTCTATGAAAATTGCAGCTTGCACTTTTGCAGTTCACTAGTGCCGTTATAATTTGCTGAAGCTATAAACAACATGTGCTTGCGAAACACTAGTGCAGTGTCTAGAACTGGGAGTTTCGCAAAGCGTCAGATTCACTGTGTACAATAGGTTGCAGCTTCCAGTGTGCGCTTATGAAGGAGACCCTGTTCCGGGCGCCCAAAACACTGAATTATTTGTCCAGGCGCAAGAGACGCACGCACGAGTGCGGCTGGCGTACAATTGGAAAATAATTTATTTTATTTTCTAAATTCCACATCGGTATCTTTTTGACGAAGAGAAAGCGACTCCCGAAATTTCAATATAACTTCGCGAAGCGAGAATACATTTTCTTATAACGAAACTTAACGAAGCGGTGCTCAGAAGTCCGTAAAACATGCGCGGGGCTTGACGATTCGTTTCGTTAACGTTCGTTAAGCTTCGTCAAAATGACGATTTACGGACTCTAATGAGCACTTCATCTAGCACCGTATCGTCGAGTGCTATGGTAAAATCCATTCCCTAATAAAGTTTCATTGACCGCTGATATCGGAAAAAACTTTAAAATTTTGTTCTCATTTAGTTGTTTTTTACTTGTTTTGAGGACTAGGTACTTTAGAAACAGCAGCCCGGAAAGCTTTTGGGAGGCAGTTTTACTACAGTTTGCGGGTTGAGGTTACTGAGCTTTGCTAGCTGAAGTTGTAGTTTGGTGCTTTCGCAAAATCATGAATGCACAAGTTCAAACCAGAATTCAACTTCAAATTCAAGTTTGGAACCTGAACTGGAGTTTGTGTTTGAACTTGAGCCACTTTCGCAAATTCCCTATTATCTGTACAGCCAAAGAGAATGCTTTCGAGGTTGAGAGCATGAAGTAATTTTTATGTAAAGATTTTTATATAATAGCTGTGTTATTGCGTTGATGCGAAGTACTTTGTAATAGAGAAGTGCGAGGAGCTCACGATGCGTCTTTATTGACAAATAAAGGCTGACAATACTGCGTAATAGCAGGAAGAAAGAACAATAGCCAGTGTGGCCAGAATCTAGAAGCGTGTTGCTAGCAAGTTCTTGAGCGTCTGTCTAGACGTGAAAGAATGCTGGCGGCAAGTACGTGTGTGATGCAGGCCAGATGAATCAGCTGTGTGATGATGCGCAGACTGGACTCATTATACCATGTGCGTTGGTTACTTGTATGGCCGACAAGTAAGGATCCATCTATACAAGTTACGTCATGACCGAACCCACACCGCGGCGATTCGCTGCCGCGCAAATTAGATGTATGCGCGTGTGAAGGCGGTGCCAAAAATCCATCCACGCAAGGCCCTTACGTGTATGCCTGTAACTCCACCCCTTTGCATGCATACATACAAGTAGCCGATCCAGCTGCCAGTCAACCTCGAAATTTCAAACGCTCGTCTTTCGTTTGCTTCTCAACGGATCTTCCCAATCGACATATCAGAAGATAAAGAATTAAATTTAAAACTTTTTGGTATCTAGCAAGTGGATATTTATGGCGAATCAAGAAAGTTATGACTGTTTTGGTTTCTCGTAGACTTAACATAGGATGCAAGCCAACGCCTCCTTTCACGGGCCCATTCTAAGTCTACGAGAAACCAAAACAGCCATAACTTTCTTGATTCGCCATAAATATCTAGGTTTCTCAGGCTGTTGAATGACTGTTTTTCTGAAAAATAAAAAATAAAATGAAGGAAAAGCAAAAAAAAAAATAAAAAATAATTTTCTGAAAAATAAAAAATAAAATGAAGGAAAAACAAATGAAACCTAAGAGAAACCTAAGAAACCTGAGAAACCTAAGACAACCTAAGAAACCTAAGAAACCTAAGAAACCTAAGAAACCCAACAAACCTATGAAACCTAAGAAATCTAAGAAGCCTAAGAAACCTAAGAAAAGTCTCACCAAGTGAGTACATAATATTGATAATAATCATATTAGCTGAAAATCGAACGCGGTAACCAAATCAGCGGTGGCCGAAATGAATGGTGGCCAAAATGAATTGTGGCCAAAATGAATGGTGGCCAAAATGAATGGACACCCTTGTATGTGTACATGCGAGGCAGCTGGCACCTACACGCGTGCCGCACACCAGCTCGCTCAAACACGTTACGACCCATACATACAAGCCAGTTTTCAGGCGGTTCTAACGTTAGTTGTATGTATGCATGCGTAACTTGTACACATACAAGTTGCAGCGCTAATGCACTATTCCAACGCGAGCGTATGAACGCTGAGTGGTGGTGCGATAGAGGAACGAGAGAGCAAGTACAGCTCAGCGTGTGCGCTGCGTATATCCGCTTCAGCGGATGAGGTGCAGTGCAGCAGCACACGTACGTACAAGGGAGAGGCGAGACGTGGCATGTGAGTGAGTGCAACAAGTACGCCAATGTGGGCGGAGCACCACGCGCAGGCTCGTATGCCTGATAACTTATCATGTTTCGACGAAATATAGATGTTTTACTAATAAAATTTTAAATTCATTCGAAATCAGATAAAATGGCCGTGCCGTGGACCACAAGAAACGCGGAGGCGTAGCCGAGGATGTTTCTTGTATGTACTTAATTATTTAATATATGTACAATATATGTCTTGTACAATCGCAATATGATATGGTGACTGCATAAATGTTGCGGCGACCTTTTGAGAGTGATTTACACGTACTACACTTCTGCTCTGCAATTCCCGTGTATCCACAATATCGCTGGACGTGGATCCATAGCTTAAAGCAATATTACATACAAGGTATGCCTCGCGCTCCGCGCTCGGCAAAACCCTCTTGGACGGATACTAATATT